ACACCTCCAGAAAAAACGCTCTGCAGGTTTCATGCAACACCTTAGCATGTTGCTTAGGTCAAAATCTGATCCCCTAGGTAGTGTGTCCAGGACACAGCCCCATCTCCCATGACATGCCCAAAGTGGAGAGCAGTGAGATGAGGCTGAAGCCTTGGGGGAAGCCCCATGTGCACGACTTGGTTACAACAGCATGTCCTGAGGACATTGCACAGGGCCAGCTGGAGACACTTGTTAATGAGAATCCTGGTACATGGAGAATGAGAAATGTGACCTTTGGAAATTCAAATCAGGCTTTGCACATGTGTCTTCCAAATGACTGCTGTGACACCCGTCAGGGCTCATGTGGATATGGGGTGTGTCTCAATGGCAGGCTTGCTGCTTGTTTTCCACGTGCTGTGACCCAGCCTCCTCCCTGCCCCAGCAGCTCAAGCTGTTTGCTCCACGTGTCCCTGAGCGTGTTGGGCCATGCTCACACACTGAGCTGGGCTCTGGGAGTCTGCGAGCTCTGGCTCTGCACCCTCAACCTGCCCACCCAGCCGGCAACGTGCGAGCGAGTGCCGTACACAGCTCTTCTGCAGTTCCTAGCAACTAAATTGCAGCCTCCCTGCCAATCTGCACTTCCCTGAGCATCAGCTTGCCTATTCAAATATACCCCACTGGTGTCCAACCCTCTCTTTTCACCCAGATGGCTCCAGCTCTTCCCTTATTTGCTCTTTTCCTTTCCCCTTGCCTCGCTGAGATGCATTTCAGCTCTTGCTCACCCCCGCTACTAAGCCCACTGTAAAGGATTTTGAGTTATGCGGAACAAGGGAGACCAGAAGGAAAAATACCTAAAACCCTCCCTTAGGACTTACTGTAGAAAGGTTACCAGAGCATCTAGGAAAAAGGATTTTCTACCAGGTAACTGGTCTAACTCTTCCTTAAAATCCTGCCTCTCTTAGGAAAGGTTTTCTGAGTGGTCCCCCTCTTGTTAAAAAGGGAGTTCATGAGACTACAAAGTACCCTTGTAAGCTGTGGAGGAGAAAAATAAAAAAATCCCTCAAAACATAGTGTAGAATCTTTAACCCAGCATCAGGATTTGTAGCTTAGACTTGTGAGTCAATTATCCAATAGTCTGATCTGGGGAAAACCCAGGAAGAGAGTGGCACAGGGTATTTATGGGAGAAGTTATTATGGGAGTTCTGGCCTGCAGAGAATGTCTCCATGCAAGGTTCAAATTTGACTGAGAATCAAAATCTTATCACTTTCTTTAGTTTCTCCTTTTATTTTCTCCTCTTTACATAATCCACATTGTATTTCCAGGGAAGTAGGTGGAAAATCAAAGAAGTTAAGAAAAGTTACATTGTCTCATTGATGACAACTCGAAATACATCAGTAATAAAACAAGCAAGACAGTGGATTAGAACTAGAGAGTTTTGCTTCAATATATGAAAATTCCAAAAGGAGGAGATGGATATAGTGGGAAAACTACAACTTGTGGCACAGTTATATGTGAGAAAAAGGATACTGAACCACAGATACTGGAAAAAATCAAACACAGTACCAAAAAATTTGAAGAAAAAGAAGGGAAATAAACAGAAGATAACCCCTATTTAAAAAAAAAAAAAAAAAAGTACTTGAGCTGTTAGGGAATATAAAATAAGAGACCCGCCACATCTGTATCTCTCTGGAAATGAGAGGTGGCTATTGCAATGATTGAAAACCATACTGGACTTTAATGCTGGCAGCACAACTCACCTGGAATCGGGAAATGCAAATGGAGCATCAGAAATGGTTCATATCAAGCTGTTGGCTTGTTATCAGGTAATCCTACCTTGATTACACTATCTCTCTATGATACAAAGATGAATGCATTAAATAAAAGGAATATAAATGTTATAGTCAAACCTTGGGTCGTGCAAAGTGCATATCTTTCTGGAGGAACAATACAGAATAACACTAAACATTGTTTTTCATGCCTTTTCTCAGCACTCTCTTGCTTGGTTCCAGCAGACAGATCAGCAGCTGCAACGGGGTTTTTTTGTAGCAGGTAGAACTCCAGAAGCAGACTCCTGATTATCGATATTTGCAACTTTTGTAATTTCAATGTATGACTTTTTATTATTAATATTTTGTAACTTTACACACTAGTTTCACATTACTTCTAAATCACCACCAAAAGTAACAACTTTAATTAGGTTTTTCAATACATATAAGACAGAGGGAGGCATTTGGAAGCCAAGCACATTGTATTTTTCCCTATCAGGCTCTAGGCAATCACTTGGATTGAAACTATGCCAGCAAATGGAACACTCCTGTGTACATACCTCAGTTTTACCCTCAGTGAACTGGAGTTGTTCATATAATTAGTGACAGGGTGAAACCCCTGTGGAGAACGAAATGATCTCCTGAGTGAAGCTGGTACTTCCTCTGACTGTAAAGCATGACTACTTGACACAGCATGTGCTTTGGAGTTTATAAAAGTGAAAGCTGGCTCGAGTCTGTGAAAGCCAAGAGAACCTTCCTGGATGATGTGGAAAAATCTCACAAAGTCAGTAACAAAACAAAGAGCTGCTACACCCGAGAATTATGCACAGCTCTTTTGCTTCTTCCCCCTGGCAGCTGTGTGAACACTGAAAGGTCCGATTTCAGGACCACAGACAAGTCCCTCTGGAAAATGAGAGGAAGAGAACAAAAAGTCAGTGGATTTTGCAAGTGGACACGAGACTCAGAAGGAGGGGAAACTACCAAGGAAAACTGTGGAAAAGAACTGCTCCTACAGTCACAACACAAAGCTTAAGCTCTTGGACTGGCATAAAAATCAGCTGTCACAGAAGTGGCACAGAAATGACCAAATCAATCCTTATTTGACATTTGTGCTTCCTGATTCCACAGGAAAGAACCCAAAGTCATCATTTTCTAGGTGTACATTTTGGGACTGTATTGCAATGTAAGCTTTAAACACACTGAAACGAGCTAAATATATTTTGGAGGAAAAATCAACATATTTCTCAAATATTTCTTTTGTCCTAAAAAAAGGTGCTTGCTTTTTTTTTTTAAGCTTTTTTTGCTTAAAGGTGTTTATTAGCACTTAGAAGTGAAAAAGAGTACAATGTTACTCTTCAGAGCCAACATAGCTCACTCTTTTCATGATTATTCTTATTTTACACACTTTTTCTTCTGCTTCTGTAAGGGAAATATATGCATCTATTGAGAACTTCTAACACTCTTGAGAACTGAACCTTATTATCACAAGAAAAGCATAAAGTAGGTGGATGCAGAGGCAGCACCTTGGGAATCCTTCATCCAGCTGAACTTGTTAGATGGGTGATTGAGTGTACTTCTATTTTAAATAATCATTTATGTGCATTAGGCAGCAGGTCCGCTCAGACTGTTGAGTTTACTCAGGGTTAAGCTGGGAGTCTTGCTTTGTGCATTTGCCTTATTTTTTCTTTAAAAAAGCCTATTGAAAGTTGACATTGGCACCCTGAAGCATTCTGAACAGCTGCTAAGAGTACAGATGGTAGATCACACAAGCCATCACTGAGGTGTCATTCAGCTCTCAGAACTGTAAACCAATCTCCTTTACTCCTCTTCTTTGAGGAGTGTCTGAATTGCTGAGGGCTAAACATACTTTCTCCCAGAGCTGTAAAATTATTACTATCCCTAAATTTTGCAACAACATCATTGGTCGCTGAAAAGGGAGTATCATCTTTTGACTTACCTGTGGGTTACTTTCAAGGGTAACTTTTATGAATTACCAGTACCTATCAACAACAAAAGTAAGGTCTGTGATAAGTCTAGAAAACATTCCTTGCAATAGTTTAAGTGCAGTAAGGAAAGTGTGCGCTTGTCTCATTAAGACACAAACTCCAGCTCTACATTTTTTCAAAGCAAGTATTTATTCCTTCTAATTATTTTCATATTGGGCAAAAGAATTCAGTATAGGTTTATTTTTTCCGAGGGAAAAAACATTAACAATTGCAATAAAGTAATCTAAAGTGACAATTAATTCTTGCATCTCCTAAAACACAACCATTTGGCTCAAAACAATTAAGAAAAAAGAATGAACACCAAAATGCTTCTACGAGGTACCGTGTTCTCATTGACTGTATGCAAGTCTTTCCCTGAGACACACAAACTTGTATCACATGAAACCTTTCTTCCCTTTACCCACTGCATCTTTTCGTATATTGAATTACTAACAGAGGTGCAACTTACTGCATAAAATATTCAAATATATGCAAACATGTTTGCAACGAGTAGCTACAAATCTACAGTAGCTGCCTGAAAAGGAATTTACTGTGAACACAAACATGTTCTCTAGATCTGTTACATGCAGTTGGCTGCATCCCTAAAACAGTTATTCTGCTATTCCAGAAAATTCTGAAAGATGGTGTGTACAAGCTTGTGGAACAAAATGTTTTTTGTCAGTAGTGCTGCTGATACTGTCAGTATTCTTCAAGGTAAAGGGCTACAAAGTGTTGGGAATTTTAGCTTGCAATTGCAAATAGTAGGATTCCTCCCTTCCTTATTTTTTTTTTTTTTTTAATTTAAAAATTTTACTCAAAAGCCCAAAACAACCTATTTAGACACCTGCTGCCTCTTTACCTCTTAGCAAGCAAAAGACATGATGTGCAGTCTTGCCTAACCCATCTACTGCTTGCTCTTGCATGACTACTCCAGCTGATCAGGTCATTTACCAACACCACTTTACCCAGAGACTCTAGGCTTCAACTCCATGGCACCTCACAGGAGCACAACCACAGGGATGGGAAGAATATGCTTCAAAAGGATAATGCCTGCCATAAAGAAAAATGACAGGATGGTTTGGCACTCTCTAGGTGTCCAAAGCCAGTAATGTGAAGAGCATTCCCTCATTTGCAGATGCAGTTGTGATGGAGTTATCTTCAGACTCCTACTAGAAACCTGTGGTAATTAGCCACAAGCCATCTTCACCCTGCAGCATGTGGTACACATTCTGTAGCTACCAGCACCAGTGAGATTAGTTTTGACACATATTAGGGTTACAAAGTTTATTAGTATTGATGCAAATTTTGATTTTGACATAAGTCACATATTTTTCACTTTTGCTTAAAAAGGCAGAAATTTGCAAGCAGTCATTCTAGCACTCACTTTTCTAAAAACCTCAAGAAATATCAGAAAATATTCTGCTGTAAAAGAAGATTGTTTTCTATCATGAAAAAAAGGGGAAGAAAACTATTCTCTTCTGATTCTTGTGTACAAATCACTTCAGTTTTATTATCAAACATAACAATGTAAGAAATTAACATAAAAAAACTAAAGACACCATATTTTCTTTACCACAAATAGCTACATACTCTCTAGTAGCTCTGGCAGCTCTGATTATTCACTTAGTCTCTTAGGATACACTTTCAGCTAAAAAGATATTAAATAACTTTTTAAATCAGCTATTAAACCACATTTTCCCCTAAAGAACAATACAATAAATGGATAACAGTAAAGAATAATAAATAGAAAAGTTAGTAATAAGTTCCTTACTGCAAAAGAACAAAACTAGATTTCCTTTCTAAAATTATTTTTGGGACTTATCAGTACAGTAGATTTGGCAGGAGAATCTGGCTTGGATTTACATGTATCTGTTTCGAATGTACTCTCTGTACATGAGGAAATCATCTCTTCCCAGAAGCTGCATGTTTCCTCTTCCAGCCTGAATGTGTGCATGGAAAATCTCTATTGATTTCCTATCAGCTCTTGGAGGCTGGACTTCATAAATATTGTCTTGAGAAAAGGAGGAGATGGGTATTCTGGAAGAAAACCAAACACACAGAATATTTGAAGCTTTATGTAAAAATTTTCCACAGAGAGAGAGAGAGGATTATTTCTTTTCCTTGAAATATAGAGGAGAGTCAATGAGAGGGCAAGTTCCCAGTAGATAATTCATTTACCTAGATTTTTATCACTACTGCAGACCTGATAAGACCCAGCTTTCCAAGTAGGGTAATTAGGTAAGTTGTCATTAATCCCATTACAGAATACCTTCTCACTTCCCTTTGCCCTGCCCTCATTTCTTCATCCTTCATCAGATCTGCTACGGTCAGTAAGTACCCCAGCTAAAGTAGATCTGTGCCATGCATTATAGCAGAAAAAAGAAAGACTTCATGGAGCTATTCACTTAGTAACAATTATAGCAAGTGATTATACTCTGAGCCAACACAGAGAAAGGGTTAATTAGGTAAGAAATTTCCATCTAATTATCAGGAAACAGACAATTTATTATAAGCAACAGCACTCAGATATTTTTATGAAAATATTTTTTAAATCTTCATTCAGCAAATACCATACTTGAATCCTTATGTACACATATTTTTGGGCTCAAAACTTCTCGGTTAAGAAAGCAAAGTGGCAACTTACTGTCAAAACTCACTATTTCATAAAGCAAACATCAACCAGCCCAAATGCAATGAAGATTCAGATATTAGTATCATTGTCATATTCTACAGAAGCCACAGTCATGACTCACTACCTGTGTGCTTTTCAGGATACAGAAAGTTATTTTTATGTGTAGAATCTCCTCTTTTGAAGGTAAAAAAACAAGTAAGAACCGGAACACTTAAGCAAAGGGAAACCCCCCTATAAATAAAATGCCTTAATAAACTTCTACTTGCATTATGGGCACAAACTAATATTTGACACTGTTTCTAAATGAGGAGCTCCATTAAAAGGACCAAAAACTCTTGCCCCCTCATTTTGCAGCCTTTTATTTTAGTAAAATATATTGTATTTTGGATGTTGCATCATGTGACAGTTCATTAGTCTTACAGCAGTGTGTCATGTAGGATATACTGTGCCTAATATTTCACTACAACTGGAATACAGTATATAAAACAAAAAGGTTTCCAAATTAAAGTAATACATTTTCATTTTATATTTCAACTTTGCATAGCCATACAGTCAGTTGATTACTCTTTGACTGCTATGACAGAATTACTTATAAAAGTATACTATTGAACTTGAGACAATAAAATCACTGGTCATCCACAGAGATTGGCTGCATACTCTAAAACATTTTTTTTTTCCTCAACAATGTGAGAGTTTCTTCTCATTATCACTTCTAGTTTATTTAAGGTAGTTGCTTTCAGAACTGCTAAAAACATTAGTCTAGATGCTTTAAAAGTAGATCGCTTTTCAAAACATCCATAGTTCCTGCAGTACTTAATCAGCGTAAAGCATCCAAACTGAGACTCTAGCAATGGCATTTGACACTAGCACACTGTACTAACTTATTAATGTCACCATCTAACAACAAAAGATGTCACTTACTCAAATATAACTAGTCTGTTTGGTCCACTAGCAAGTGGAGAATTAAGTAAAAGAGCAAAACAGAGCACTAAATTGATGCCTTCTCTATTTATTGATTGGTTTCTAAAGATATGACATTTCTAAAGCACTAATGACTCAAAAATCCTTTCCTTAGGTACAATGGAAGCTGGGCAGCAAAGTGCATTTAATTTTGTGCATTTAATAACTGAATCTCAATTTTCCTCCTACTTGCATCAACATGATAAAAATATATTGAAAGAACCGCATGTTCATACATGCCAACTTTGATTAATAACCCCATGTTAAGCTGTAACTATTTGTAGAGTGCTTGTATTATCCAGTCATTTAATTAAAAGCCATTTCTCTAACATATTCATGTAAAAATCTATTCTACTTAATAAGTTTAATATCTTACAATAGTCATGATGGAGAGCATGTTATTTATGACTTGGCTATCAGGTTTCCTTAGAAACCTGTAGCTTTATGGCCTTCCAGTGAAAATTACATAGATAGGAACATAAACTTTGTGTCATGACAGACAGCACCCTTGACACACCATTTTCATTATTTTCATCCCATTTGTGAGTAGGCTTCCTGGTGTTATGGTTTCACCAAGAGTATCAATGTTTCTACAGTAAAAGATACAGTTAAAACCTTCACTTATAATGAGGATGTTCCATACTTCCAAGGAAAAGTGCATGGTGATATGGATTAGCTCTCAGACACAGCAGTCACCAGAAAGCCACTGCATTTGTTTCCACACTGATTAGCTATCCTCAAGTCTCTGAAGTATATCTAAAAAGTAAACAAAATGTATTTCTTCACCTTGCTTGAATCCTAAGCAAATATCCATGTGGATGATCAGAGGGCTAGAGTACCTCCCCTACAAAGACAGGCTGACAGAGTTGGGGTTGTTCAGCACAGAGACAAGGCAGCTCCAGGGAGACCTTAGTGCACCTTCCAGTGCCTAAAGGGAGCTGCAAGAGAGCTGCAGAGGGACTTTTTTAAAGGGCATGAAGTGATGGGACAAAGGGGGATGGCTTTGAGCTGAAAGAAGACAGGTTTAACTTAGGCAGTAGAAGGATATCCTTCACTGTGAGGGCAGCGAGGCACTGGAACGGGTCATCCAGAGAAATTGTGTTTGCCCCATCCCTGGCAAGGCCAGGCTGGAGGGGACTTTGAGCAACCTGGTCTAGTGGAAAGTGTCTCTGCCCAGTTTCCAACCAGGGGGTTGGAACTGGATGGTGTTTAAGAGTCCTTCCAACCCAAAGCATTCTAGGACCCGACCTGAAGCAGAGGCACTGAAAACAGCTCAGATGCTCATGTATTCACCAGCCACACTTTGGTACAAGGATATTTAAGCATGCTCACACTCTTCTTTTTTGCTACAGGGAACCAAAACACTCAATTCCCTTTTAAGGGGGGAATAAAGTTTCTTGTACTCCTAGATAAATGTATGAAGCACATTTGAAAAGGATTTGAGAGTGTATTTTTACAACAGTATTATTTACATCATACCAAAATGAACACTAGGGAATTAGGGAATTAGGAACAGGTGCAGTGTGTCAGCCAACAGTAATTACACTACAGTACTTAGAGTCTCTCTTCATTCACATTATAATAGATTGTGCTAAAAGTGGTCCAGCTCTGTTTAGCTCTATTTAGCTCTAACTAAAATTCCATCATTTTTTCCTTCATGGAATTTCTAAGAACAAAAAGAAGAATTTCAATATCCTTCCACATCCTCCACTCAGCCTCACTATTATTTCTCTGCATCACTTTGGTCCCTGTTCAAGTCCCCATATTTTATTTCTAGTCTATACTTACAGTTCCTAAATTTAAGCCAGAACCTTCTCTTCAGTATTTATACAATTCATATTTGAATTTGTCAATATCAATGCATAGATATTATAAAAATAAGAAATAGTTCTTCTTTTGTAGCAGCTTCATGTATTTGATTAAAATGGTCAAGTGTTTAAAATTGTGAAATGTGGGGTTATTAAAAAAGATTTTCTTGAGAAGTGTGGAAAAGACAACTAACCTAAGCCTAAATTATATCTCACTGCTGATATGAAACCAAAGTTTTAGACTGAGTGTTTAATTTTACTATGAAAAGAACTAGGGTTTGATTGCATTTGTATCATATACGAAGCAACCACTGGAGAATTAAATTTGTCTGATTTTTTTTTTTTCAATTTAAAAGGCATCTAACATCAAATTAATAAAAGTTAGTATAATTTTTCAATTTCTTCAAGAGCTCCTTGAGAAAGAGGCACAAGCTGTGCCTCAGATGCTGTTACTGAAAACCCTCCCTCTCTCCCTAATCTTGAGTACACTTATGTTCATTCTATTTTATCTCTAAAATGTTAGTATTCTCCAAGGAAATTCCTGATTCACAGCTGTAATTTAAACTCAGTAAAAAAAAGCTTCCTTGTTTCAGAGTTGAACAACATGCCTTTTAAGAATGGCTACATTTATGACTTTAACTAAAAGAACAATCTGTCACCATCCAAACAGTATTTAAACATTTTTAAAAAGTAACAGAATAAAACCCAAAGAAAATTTTTAAGCTGTCAGGGGATATACTGTAATAAAAAAGAAATTATCAGCTCTAAGATACCCTACTTCCTCTCTGATCTGCACAGAGGAACACGTTTGTTAGAAGTGGCAAGAGAGATGATCTACATGACTTCAACAGGAGGAGTAACAGGAGGCACAGATTTTTGTGCCCTATGACTTTTACACTTCTACTATTCAGAAACACACGGAAACTACACTTGGGAAAAGAGAAAAATTAACATCTGACTATCCCAAAACCACCAGAATTCTGTGTAGGGACTCTCTTTAATGTCTTCATTTTACAGATGCTCAGCATTGGGAAAAAAATTGTATTTAAAGGGATAAGAAAGGAATTATTATCTCCTACACTGTCTTACATGCTGGGAGATTCTGCAATTACAAAAAAGAAATTGCCTTTATTCATAGCAAAAATATTCTTCTTACAAAATATTTTATTAATAAACATGTCAATTTAAAACATTCATGCTTGCTCCCTCATATTGAAAAACAGTTTTACAGTTTTCCAATCTAATTTACTACTTTCATACCCATTAGGCATGTTTTATTATAAAACTATGGGCTCATTTACCTACAAATGTGGTATTACCACTTTCATTGTAGCTAATACCAAGTGAATAAACACTGCTATCAGACAGTATTGTCTCATACACAGCATTGCATCTGTTTCATGTCGTTCTTTCTTAGCCCAACTGAGACTCACCCACTCTCTCTCCCTGCTTAGGTATAAATGCTATGTTCAAGGCTTCCTCACTTCACCAGCACAGAGGGGTGGACAAGAGGCAGTGCAGGAAACAAAGTTGGGGCTTCTGTAAATCAGTGCATTGCAGAGAAGTTTTGGCAGTTCTAAGAAGTGGCCATGCTGTTGGATAAAGGATCGTGTACTCCCAGTGACAGAAGTAAATAAAATTCTGCCTTGCCTTGGTGAAACTTTAAGCTGCCTGCAGTACAGGAAGATGTCAACTGGCAAAGTTGTACTTGATCATCTAAATTGTAAGACCTGATTCAATGTTAGTATGACATTTGGATAACAGCATGACCCTTTTTATACAGCTGTACTAAGAAGATTCAGTTGCAGCTTTGAACATTTTTTAGTGAAGAACACGCAAGAACAAATTGCCCTCTACACTCAGTAGATTCAGCACTTTGTGTTAATTCAGGATTGCTAATACTTTTGAATACAACCCCCATGATACTACAAAGACTAAAAAACAAAACGAAAAACAACTCCCCAAAATAATAGAAACAAAAACCAAACCCTCAAAAAGACAGTTCTTCATGCTATGCATTGAATCCCCTTATGCAGTAAAGAAAATGGAAGTGTGACACTCAAGCAATTTAACATCAAATTTACCTGATCACTTTTCATATCTAATGACATAAGCAAAATCAAGCTAAAGGGAAAAAGAAAAAGAATACTTACAAATTTATGACCTTATCCAAGAGGTGTTTTGAACAAAATTGCTGGCTGCCCTTGTCTTGTTTATGCTGGCTCTGTCCCAGCTGAACAAACCTGTGAAAAGCAGTAGATTGAAGACTAAATCTAAGAAATAAAGGAACTATCCCCCAAAAATCATCAAACAAAAGAAAATGACACTAAGAAATGAGATTTTGAGTCATGCTGTTTAAGTCACTGATCATGATGTACTTGTCTGGTGAACAAGAGAGATTTTAAGAAGTTCATAGAGGGTGCATGCATGAACTCAGAACCTCCTTTGAAAAATGATTTGCTTATCCATTTGTGTCACCTAGTATGTCACGGGAAGAAACAAGCTTCCCCTAAGAAACACACGGCCCTCTACAGTCAATTTCCTATGTCCTTCTCAAAGCAATCAGTCAGAGGAACAGCCTATGGAAAAATCAGCAAAAGACACAAAGTCTCTCAAGTTTCAGATTTAAGTTAGTCCTCTGCTGAATCCAATCTAGTTTATTCATCTGAAACGCTGTTAGTCCAGATCACTTATTTACAAACACAACCTTTTGGGACAATTTCTCCATCTCCAAATATTTGCTGGAAGACATTGCCAGTGGAAAATACTGTCATGGTTTTTTTTCTCTTGGCAATGAAGTGGAAAAAAATCTTCTGAAAAGTAGTTTATCACTAATCTTAGTCACTCAGAATAGAAGGAAAAGTCAGAAGGTTTCAAATGTAAATATATGTAGCTATCTTGCACTCAATTTGTTCACTCTCCAACACAGCTGTGCCACTGAAGAGACAAGCAAATGCCAGTTGCGATTTACTAGTTTAATTTTCTGAGGCAGAGTGTTTCTCTTAACAGTGAGTTTCCATCTAGCTTAAGAAGTCTTACTGGTCTAGTTCAGGAATATTTACTACATTTTAACAAGCAACTATTACCAGTGCAAAACCAATTGCAGGAACGAGTATACAGAAGTCAAATGAACATGTTCCTAAACAACTTATTGTAGCTTTTCTTTCCACTCCATTCAGATTCTATGTTTTGGTAGAAACAAAAGCCTCAGGGACAAGCAACATCACTTTGACCATAAAAGGAATATATACTTACATTACTAAGTAAGAGAATTTTATGTGGAAATCAAGATAATTAAGATCATCTAGTGCAGGAGCCTGCTATTGAAACTAACTTAAAAAAATTCAAAGGCAAACCAATTGCCTTAGTATTTTAATTCAGTGCTTCAAATTACTCAATGTTTTGAAAATTACAAGACCTAAATGCACACAAGCAAGTTCCCCAACATCAGGAAGATACCACGCACAGTTGATCTGCAGCATACATCCTCAAATTATTTGAGGGACTTCCTGTCCCTTCCAAATTCAACCAACCTGGGCTTCTGTGATTTCTGTTTTGATGAGAATTATCTCAGCCATTAGTGAAAACAGGCTGAATGGATCCAAATTACTTTTAATTTGCATTTGCAAATAGGCTTAATATAGATCAGTTGATATAAAGCAACTTAACCTGAAGTACTTTGAATCTGTGAGACCCTAATCCTAATCAGGAAAAAACATGTAACATGTCCAGCGATGTCACGTGGAGTCAGGATCTTACATCTTCATTTCCCTTATTACAGTAACAGAAAAAGGCTTGATGTGAGAACTGTAATCATACTGTGAAAGAAATTGCTGCTATTCTCAAGCAATGTACATCTTAGAAAGTATAGATTTTACTGACATCCTTTATTACATAAATCAGCACACCAGACCAGAAATAGCACTGTCTTGTTAGCTAAAAGAGATAAAGAATTTGTAATTTTTTCTATTTTTAAAACCTGCATTGCTTGAAGCAAATGAAAGGTTTATTATGGTTTTTTTTTAAAAAGGATATAAATAGGGTGCTTCAAAGCCTCCAAGGTGCTTATGGTTTTATATTAACAATAGATTGAACATTAGTCCAGCCTGAAGAAATTATGAAATTGGAAGCAGCTGCAGTTCTGGATGTTAACACAGAGTTGTTCATCTGCAGAGAGAGACTCACAGTAGATACCAGCTTACACTTGGCCATTTTCAGAACCACAATAACTACCTGCTGTATCAAAGGATAGTTGTCAAATTTGCATCCATCTTCCAGGGTTAAAATAAAAAAGAAACAAAGGTAGAGGCATAGCTGAAGGTAAAAATCTCAGATATAATGAGAAACCATTCTCCTTCACCCTATTCAACTGTAGTATCTTCAAATGACTCAGCTTGTAGGAAATAGGTAGAAATGGGAATTTTAAAGAACAGAAGAGTGCAAGAGAAATAGCTTCACCCAAAGAAAAGGTAAGATAAAAGTAATTTTAAATAAAAAGAAAAAATGCTTTGAGTGGATTAAAGAACTAAGTCAGGATGAAACACCACATATCATCAAGTAAGATATCACAGTGAATTAAAATTTTCCTTAAAAATTTAAAAGGTTTCAAATATAACAAGGTAGCTACTGCTATTACACATTAGAAAATAAAAACAAATGCAGACAAGGCCATTTCAATGCATGTCTCACAACTATTCATTTCAATATACACACAGTACTTTCCTGAGATGAGGTGTAGATTTCTTAGACCCCTATATGACACCATGTTAAACAAAAAGACAACTTCTATTATTTTATATGAGTTTTTACAAAACAAGCTATTTCATTGTGACTGACTTGAATTGGAATAATTCAACACTTGAAAAATGCAAACCCCACAGTTTACAAAGCTTACAATCATGGAACCATTCCTGTGGAATTTACTTAAAAATGGAATATGGAATTCCTATGAATTTACTTATTAATTTCTAGGATTATTTCAAGTGACAGTTATTTCTTTTGAAGCATCTTTCATTTGATTTAAGCTCCAAATTTTGCATTCAGAAACACCTGCATAGCTTCCACTGAAATCAGAATTGACACAAACAGCTGAAAATAGTCTCATTTTGAAAGACATGGCATATATAGACAAATTTCTCCTTTAAATTAGTTTAATCAAAGGCAGCACTTTGACAAACTGCACTTAACTAGCTCAAATTGTCCTTTGACGATTACCACTGGAAATTTATCTCACCTTGCATATATTGCAAGATCATCTTCTGAAGGGATATCTGAAAGATTGACTCCATACACATCTTTTGTTGATTGCACTACATTCTGGAACATAAGAAAGATTCAGATTAAGAATACTGTAAAAACATCTAAAGAAAGTTTGCTCTTAAGAAATAACTTCCTTACAAAACAAAATATAATTTCAGAAGTGCAGACAAAACCAAACAGGTTTCTCACATCCACAGCAATCTTAGCTTACACATATTTTTTTAAGAAAATAATTTATTGGAAATATAAATCCACGCATTTATTCAACAAGGAAAGAATTCTTGAAAGATATAATCAGCTAAAACAATGTATTAGGCGAATAAATTAAATTAATTGAACATAATGGTGTAGTTATTAAATTCTGTTCTGTGTTGAAACTTAATATAGAATAAATCATATTCATTCAGAACATGCTCCCACATTTGCTTTCACATTTCCTGCTGTCAATTCTGCAATAATTACAAACCTTAGGTTGAACAAAACTATTTTTATTTTATACATTATGCAATCATGTCAGTCAACTATAACAAGGAATCAATGCACATGCAATAGTTCACCAACTGTGTCTAGTGACTCAGTGCTAAACTGAGGGGGTTTTCTGACAAGCCACATATGACTGTGAGTCAAATATAAAGACAGCTTTCCCTTATTTCGAAATGATTCCAAGTCAAAGAATTTCAGAAAGGTATGTCCTGACCAGAAGTATAAATGTATCTTTTATTAACTTCTCAGAAATGTGAACAGAAAAGAACTTGCTCTTTGAGTTCCCCAGATAATAAGGAATGGCATGAATTGACAACGCAAATTATGACTAGAATTCAATGCATGAAAAGGTGATAATAAATTGGAATATATTTCTCCATATAATTACTAAAAATTCAGAATAGCTCAGTCAATTTTTAAGCCATTGAAATTCAATATTTCAAATCATACTTTGTATTTACATAAACCTTTCATTTAAGCATTTTTAAAATCTAAGAAAGTTATCTTAGGTCCGAGTGCTGAAGTGTATTCAAAACAAGAGGGGAAAACTAATGTGACATGAACTGTGCAACTGTAGGAATCAAGAATAAAATTTCAACTTGGATTTTTGTTAAAAAATAGAAACAATCTGATTTGCTGAAGAACAGGTACTCTGTTATTCAGAGATAATGGAAAACTTTCAGATAAAATACCTTGCATAAACACAAATAAATAAATGTGCTTGTACTGGAGTAGGAAGAAGACACTATTGCACTATTGAAGGCTGAAAATCCATTATCTGAGAACACACTACCCTAGGCTAAAGACTGAATAGAATCAAAATTTTAATCGTGGCAATAAATAAATAAATAAATAGAAGGAAGTGTAATTGTCTGTTGCCTATCAGGCACTACCTTTTATGCTAAGGTCATAAATACCCAATTTTCTTCAGAAGTGATAACATGCACAATCCTATAACCATTTAAATGAGCTGTGACTTTAAAAAAACCAACCCTGCCAGACAACGTAAGTATTTTCCAAACTTCTATAGTACACATTAGCATAACCTTTTGCTAAGACAATTTCAATGGTATCCAAAATGGATATCTACAAGAAAGAATTTGAAGAACTATTACATGAACAAATAAAATAGATACTTCCATAATTCCTTATACAACTCATATTTTCATTAAATTAGCACCTAAGGGATTCCAACAAAATGGGACTTATGCTAGCAAAAAAAGATTAATAGCCCACAACTGAAAATATACATTCTTTCCATCTGACTGGGCAAATGCAATTTATTTCACTATTTTATTCACTGCCATTATCTGCAACCTTAGTAGCAGTAATAGCACAGGGCCTCTGTGGTAACATTTTCACGCACATTTTTGAAGCTAGTTAAGTTTTTTAAAATGCCAGACCACATAATCATGAGACAGCAATTTAAAAGTGTTCACATAAATTAGGTTGAAATTTAGACAGAATGAACATTAATTTGCAGTTAATCGACCTAAGCAAGTGGCATAGTTTAAAAGGAATTACTTTGTAATTCCAAGAGGTGGTTCTCAGGACCTCAGGTTCATATTACATCTCTTTAAAGGGGGTTGCTCCAGATTGACTCCTATGGACTAAATGTTGATTAAGTAGGTAGATCAAGTACATCCATAGAGAAAAGGAATCTCATTTGCATGCTCCAAGGACACCTAATGATGTGTAGCAGAGCATGGTAATGGGCAATAATCAGACATGTGTTACTGCTCTGAATTAACACACTCATACGTGAGTGTATTTTACGTGATGTAATGACCCAAATACCTTTCAAATGCCATAGCTTTCTGACAGTAGTTTTCTTTTTTTTATGCTATTTGTGTTTCACTATAATGTGATAAAAACAACAGCAAAGGTTAACAAGCAGTTGTGTTGCAGTTATGCTAATATCTACACGAAAAAATTACACTGGGGACCTTTGTCACTAAATTTCTCAGTGCTTTACTTCTGACTGTTCTATAAGGCATTTTTAAGGAAGTGTGAATTTTTAACCTTCTTGCCTAACACAGTGATTTCTTACCTCTGTGATTTTTGTATTGTCTCCTGTATCAGTCACCTTTACTGGAGTTGAACGTTGAGAAACAGCACCCTCATCTTCTTTATCAGTCCCAGAATCATCTTCAGAGCTACTTGACACTGCTTCCTCACTTGGGGGTGGAGGAGCACTAGCAGCTGTTTTGCGCTGCAGCACAGTTTCTTCTCTATTATTTTTGTTCCTATTAGGAAAGGCAGTGTGTATTTATGAAATCAGCAAGATCTTAGCAATGAATATTTAAAATTCCTAATCTTGGTTACAATCTTTCCAGGGAAATAAGTTTTAACCTCTGGGGCAACTTTTTGCTCATCTTTTAAAATCCCCGATTGATTTGTCTTCTTCAATCTCGTTATTCCAGAGCATTTAAAGAAAGCCCAAAGGATTCTGTCAGCTTTTCTCCACCAGTTCTCTGATTCTTTACATAAATCCCTCCCCACAAATGAATAAACAAAAAGGAATAAAAAATAATTGAGGCATAATATCTTTGGTTTTGATCTTGGAAAAAGTTTCACTTTCTGATTGATAACAACATCCCGTCCAATAGCTTCCTTAATCTTAATGGTAATGGTTCCAAACCTTAATGGTAATGTCACTTTTTTTTCCCTTATTTTCCATACCTCTTCCCTCAATTTAATTCTTTAATCAGCAACATTTCTTGATGCAGTATATTTCTCGCTCAAGAAATTCTAGTCAATATAAAGAGATGCCTTATTTATAAGAAACCTTCAAGGTACAGCATCTCTATGCAAGTAGGCTAACACAGGATTTAACTGTATGCACCCATGAGAAATCATACCAGACTTATGTGTTCCACATCCTCTCCTACTGGCCACAGAAGAATATTTAGTTGCAATTTCCTCTCAGACACTGTCACAATCTTTCAGGGAAGGCAGCTAATGAATAGACATTAACTAATGAATAGACAGTTTATCACTGGAAATAGGGAAGGAACATCTCTTCCTTGCTGCAGTGACTGTCCCATGTATCACTGACAGACAGTGTGTGACTTATTCTAAAGGAAGACAGCAGCATGTTAGAGGCTGTGAAACGAGCACAAAGATTGATGCAAATGCTATTTGGAGATGCAGGTCTAGTGCTCTCATCAGCATCACTTGAGCCCTAGTGGAGCACACCACAACTGTTACAGATGCCGCCTCTTGAAGTGAAACTCACACAGCAGTTTATTCCTGAACTGAATTAGTTATGCATTGAGCGCTCAAGGAACACATATAAAGATGTAAGAGAGTCCTTCCAAAGGTTGTGATCTGAGAGCACACCCCACCCCCTAGGACATTATTGTATCATAAGAAATCCTAGAGCTGGAACAAATGCTTTGGGGAAAACAGCACCGCGAGAGAGTTTGATTTCTGACTTGGAAGAACCTGACACTTCCTTGGACTGAAATTCACAGGAAGTTATGAAGACATAAGCATTCTTTTTAGGGAAAGCAAAGGGATTTTTCCCTACTCTTCTAGATGAGGTGAAGGTCACAAGAAAAGCAGTCCTTTCTGAAAGCTGAGGAATGGAGCAAGTAGCCAAACACTGCTAAGAGTGTATCCTCACCCCACTCCCATTACATCAGCATGTCTGGGACCTGATCGTCTACACACACAAAAAGAGATCACCAAATTTCCTTCAGAAATGTCTTAGATCAAAATATCATGCCAAATGATCAAGGCAAAGGTACCACCTTTTGCAAAGCTAAATGTGGGTGAGGTGCAAGAGTGAATCAACGTTTTACATTACTACACAGTCAATGAAAGGAAAGCCTTGTAAGTGATATGCAGGGAGTCCTGGAATGTGGCTTTGATGGAGCTGATTCTCTGTCTCACATCAATCCCTAAAATTTACAGTGAAGAGCTAGAATAAAAGTGACTGAGAAAATTATATAATGGTCAACTGTTTAATGGAGTACCTAGAGACAAATTAATCCAAAATCTGACATTCTACCAAAGTGGAAGAATAAAGCTTATCCTCAAAATACTCATAAACTCAAATTCTTACCAGAGATAAACTGTGCAACAGTTGAACAGTCTTCCTGTTTATTCCCAGGGAATCAGTAGCATGAAATGAAGTCTTACGGGTGATAAGCACAGTCTATTCTCAACATTTATTGACAATGAGACCCTCAGGATCAGAACACATGAGACAGTCAAATGTTCTAGTGTTTCACAGAACAGCAAGTTTTCAGAGGAACTTATAATGTTGTGACAGCACAGTAGCTACTGACAAAAGGTTTCCTTAATATGAGCTACAAAGAGAGAATGAATTGATGAAGATTCTACACAGCCCTTGTGGGACACAGCAGTGGAATAAAGAGAGTAACAAAGCAGGTCCAGAATAAAAAAGCAGCTAAATGAAACATTCATTTGTCCCAGCAACTGTTGCTGGATTGTTTTATATAATTTTATCCATAAACATTTTAATAACGTATTTTATCAAAGACTGCTGAAATTGCCATTTATCGCTATTTCAGAATATGCACCATTTATGAAAAATTCATAATTTTTTTAAAGACAACAAGAAAATATGCACTGCTGGCAACTCCAATAGAGAACAGAGTTGCCACAAAGATGAAGAGATTATTATATTTTAATAACTTCTGTATATTATTGATAAAATCGTCTCATGAATTTCACTTTGAGGAATGAGAGAAAACAGAAAATATTAAACAAGTTGTATTAAAATTCCTAGTGTCAAATAAAAATCTCAGATTAGGTGTGATTTTCAAAGTGTGCAATTCTGCAGTATAACTCAAATGAATTTTTTATTTCCCATGTAACACAGAATATGCTTCACAGACACACTCATAGGAGTTTATATATTTTCATTACAATTTCATTACTGTTAAACCAGAACAAAATTTCTGACTTCAGACTTACCCCAACACAGATTTTCCAGTTTCATCAGGTTTACGAACAGTAAACGGACTTGGATCAATTCCCACATTCTTAGGCATAAAATCTCTGCCAAAATAGAAAAGAAAAAGTATCCATGAACAAAGTGCAACACATAAAATTTTTAAATTTTCTGGAAGAATCACCTCTAACATCTACCTGTGAACTAAAAAAAAAAATCATCATAAAGATATATTAAGTTCTAACTTTATAATTTCAAGTTGGTGTATATTTTACCTACGTATTTAAAAAACTTTCAGTTGCATTATTTAGTTCCATAAAACAGCTGCAAGTATCACCACTTGCCAAAGATGCCAAAGTGTTGTGCCCCATTCCTGTGCTGAAGAAGACTGGTAACTTGGGGCTTTGTCCATTGTTTTCAAAATGCTGCCAACACACAAATTGGGTCAAACAGCTACATGAAATATAATTTGCCTGGAAATCTTTAGCCAAACCATGATTCAGATTATGTTCAGAATATCCAGCTGACTGCTGCCAACAAAAAAACCCAAAAATATCAGTTGTGAGAACCAGATGAACTGAAGAAAACAACTGCAAAACAAGAGCAGAACAAGGAGAAAATAATTGTTTTGAAAGTAGCCTCTGTGAACTGAGTCAACAAAGTTCATCTCTCAGCCATCAAGTGCCCAGACACTAGGCATTCCACAAGAAAAAATAATTGGAAATCTAATTGCTATTTTAATAGATTTTTTTTACAGAGTAACATTTCAAAGTAGCATTGTGATTTCATTTCAAGAACTTCGCTAAATTTGAAATTACACATATTTAACCAAATAAGTCAAATGCATATTTAATGCACACCAAATCAACCTCCAGTCAAGGATTTAGAGTCACAAAACATCCCAACATACCGTGTAGAATTGGTCATTGCCAAGCAGAAGGTCTCATCAAAACTGCTCAACTCATATGGCCTAAAAAACTCATTGTGGATATCAATTTCCTCTTCGTATTTGTGGAATTTCTTCACTGTCAACTTGCGTCTGTTTTCAGCACACGTCACTGACGGTGAAAAAAAAACCCAATCCTTTTACTAGCAATTACTGACTCTTGCAAAAATCTAATCAAACCGTAGCCTGCTCACCTGACCACCATACCAGGCAACTTTTTCCTACAGTCATATCCCCTCTGAGACAAGGAAATATGACATGAAGAAGATGCATTGCACATCTTTAATAAATATGCATTATCAACCACTATAATTTGATTTCATTTCATGATGACTATTTCTAATGAAACATGCCCTGCAGTACCCCAGAGAAATAGGACTATCTACACCAGCTATATTGTGTCATCTTCAACAGGAATAGGACCACTAGCACAGACTATAACTATATGCTAATAGACAAGAAAAAAAGAAAAAATAATTAAGTGTGCCCTGGCTTATAAACATATGAAAGTCAAGTTTCAGCCACTTAGGTAGCTCTTGCAACCTGCAACTGAAAAATGCTATCTCCTTGCAGAGGGGAGAAAGTGGAGAAGTATTTAGAAGCCATTATGGAAACACTCTTTTTTTTCAGATCTGGGATCTAAACCAGTTAAAAAGCATTTGTGACTAAAACTTCTCTTTCAAGATACTTTGCAAGGCATGGAGCAAATATAGGTCCTACCTTCATCAAAAGGAAGAGGTAAATGCTTTAGCACACCTGTGGTCCACCAGTAAGTATAGCTGTACAGGAAAAACAGAAACACAATCGATACAGGAGATTTGGTCTTGTATCCAGCCCACCCAGTTTGAACATAACATTCACCCATCCATACAGTGTCACTTCAGCAAACATGGCTGAATTAGATGGAGGATTTCAACAGACTTTGCTCTCAAATCAAGAAATTTAATGCACAAAACTCAATACAGGGATGGACAGAAGAATGGTTTTGTTTCATAAAAAAAAAAAAATACATTTCAGGTGCCTACCTCTACAGCACTGAAAATTTAAGTCTTAGTACATACCAAAAGTACTTATGTATTTCTCTTGTTCTGGTCACTGGAAGGTGGGAGGAGTGGGGGGAAGTCATCCCCTCACAGATGTTATTCAGACCCAAAAATTTAGGAAAAAGGTATGAAGAAGTGAAGGTCAATGTTAATAAGATCGGATGGTTGTCAAAGCAGCTGATTTTTACACAAAGAAATACCTTTTGATGTAACAGCTGAATCATAAATTATATAGAAGTAAAAGAAGAACCTTAATAAGTATCTTCCTCCTGAAGAGGAAGCAATTATAACATAGGAAAAGCACAGATAGTCAAAAGAAGTTTCAATGACAGGAAACATCATCTTCCTTCTCCTATATCCTTAATTTCATTATGAGTGTCATTATTTCTTTTGCTGCTGTGCCCAAGGAACCTAAAAGAGGCACTACACAGACAGGCAGGAAAAAGTTACACAAAGAACTTGTGCAAATGTTTGGTAGAAAAATTACTAAAAAAAAAAAAAATTACAAAAATTACAAAAATTACAAAAAAATACCTAGAGGAGTTTTTTTTAATGTATTTATTTCACCTAGTTATTACAGGAAGTTGTCATTTTAGTCACATAATGAAACATCTTGATTGTATATTATAACTGTTCAGAAGAAATTTTGGTTAGAATGAAAGATAAAAATAAGTAACAAGTAAATGAAGAGTACCAACATTTCTTTTTAATAATCCTCCTCATTTGAGACCAGTATGTGTGACAAATAAGAGACAGCTGTTTTAACAGAGTAACAGATGAAAGGGAGACTAGAGTATTTGCATATTTGCAATATATCAGCTGAATTAATTTTAGACATACGATAATTTTCAGAACAAGTAGTCAAGAAAATTAATATTGCATGTTTAATGTATGCCTGAAATAGTACTTGGTTGTATGGCTCATATAAGCTACCTTTAAGAGAAGCCTCAGGAGACAATACAAGAAGACTGAAATTCAGAAAGAGCCATATCATGTGCCAGCTGCTGTGACAGGTTAACAGAATAAGCAGCCAACAGGGACTGATCACACTGGCTAAACACTTGCAGTTTTGCTCAGACAAAAATCTAAATGCACATATTCAGATCTACCATTTTTACTAAAGAGTTTTATGGCTCACTGAATGAATAAAGACAAAACCAGCCAAAATCCTAAGAGATTATTTAGTTGACAAGTTGAGTACTGTCCTTTTTGCTAAAATGGATTTTTTTTAAACACACAGTATTCATAATCTTCAAAAAAATCTTTTCCCGCTGTGAAGCAATCAAATTACTTTAAAATTTTTATACTTTATTACTTCTGTATATTATTACCATGCAACTACAGTGGAATGCAAATGAAGAAAAATAGTCTTCAAAATAGGCTAGACATAGGCTGAAAGGAAAGTAGAAAATCATGGGTTTCTTGATACGCACAGCTGCAGACTAAGTGCAGTACATAAAAAACCAAATGTTGTCCTTATCACATAATCTCAAATTCAACCATTAATAAATCTGACAATGAAGAATGCACCTATATATTTCATAATGAAACTGTAGTAACTATACTTGAGTAAAACAGTGAAGCATTCTACACTGAAGGATAGAATTTAATATGATATTAAACTTCTTTTTAAGTACCACAGGAAAATAACATACTAAAGCAAATCCTTTGAAATATCAACACTCAGCATTGTTTGGTAATCTCTTGGAGGTGGGTTTTTTTAAGCTTTTGTATAAGCATAAAAAAGTAAGCAAGTTTTTGACAGACTGACCTAATTATTTGATTAGCAACATGAATTTTTTAGAGGTTATTAGAGCAATACCAAACAAAACAATAAACAGAACAGCAAAATACCTTTGCCTGGCCTGTGACAGACTGAGGGTGTTCTTGTGATGCAAATAAAAATCAGTGGGAAGTTCCCAGAGATGTGGCTTTCCTTCTGCAGGCTTGAACACTCCCAGAAAGAGATTGATAGAATCTTGCCTGTCCGCATCTGTTGGACAAGAGGCACACTTAACACCGGGAGCACTGCACAGCTCAAGCCCATTCAGACATTGCTTCTCTTTGCTCTTCAGAGAGAGTGTCTGTGTCCTGTGACTGCTGCAGGGCCCTCTGGGCTTCAAGCAGCACCATGGAACTTCATTTACAGCAGACTTACCACGCTGAATAACAACTCAATGAAATTAAACAATATCCATACAATACAAGTTTCCAACAAAACATACAAATTATGAATTCCTTGGGACTTTCTTGTCAATACATAGTAAAATGATGACATTTCACAAACACCTTTTAGTAATTTGGACTTGTCCCCTGTTGGCTTAAATCATCAATTCAGCTTGTCATATTCTTAGCTCCACCAAATTATTATTCAATATGTGTCTTTTTCTCATCTGTACAACTTAATTAGTAGTAATTATCCTAAGAGCATTGAGGTCAACAGATGAAAATATTTTCTTGTAAGAGTAGTTTATTTTTAGATTCATGTATTTTGAATGATAGACAAGCAGTACATGTGTGCCTAAGAGATTTATTTAGGAGGATGTGATAGCAGGCCTCTTTTAAGCCTGCTCTTATATACTGTATGACTCCAAGCGAATCACTAAATTTTTCTGAGTCTGTTTAATTTAGGTACATAAAATATACAAGCATTAAAAAAAAAGTTTCTTGGATCAGAAACACAAAAAAATGCTAATTCATTAATAGCTAGCCCTCAGCTTTTTATTTGCATTTCAAAGGATATATGAGGGATAGCAACAATAATAAATGCAGTACAGCAAATCAGCATCTTGTTCTAAAACTGTTTCCTTTTTCTCTGCTTTCTTAGCAAACTTAAAGAATAAAATGGTCTTTCTCAATGTGTCACATTAGCAAACTAGCTGTTGCCATATGAACAGGCAGTGTTGGAAGTGAATCTTTAAATTTCATTGAAACAAATATTTTAAAACTCCATACTAAAAATGCAATGAAGTAAATATGACATTGAATGCTACATTTCAGCAATGTCATCTTCAAACACAAGGAATGCATACTGCTACAAAAATATATGCCTTGAATGGGATCAAATACCAAAATCATAAGTAAATTGGAGAAAGTGTGCAGCACCTTTAACAAAATTTCATTCAAACACAGTACTGACTTCAGTAAAGACAAATGTCTTTTTTGTGTACTTTCCTACAAGTTCATTGAGGTGACAAGATGGACTTCGTTTCTAAATTTTTTCTTCTTTTTTTAACATCTTTTTTAGAACAAATTCTTTTATTACTAGAAGACATGCAGATCATGACTATCCTTGCAAGCAGACCACAACCCCAAATGTGGACCTAGAACTTTGCTCAGGCGTTCACCTAACCATTTCAGTGGCTGGCATAAAAGTGAACAGCTGAGGGATTTGTTCCGTCTTCTATGTCACAGTACAGGTGACACTGCAAGTGTGCTACCTTCGGCTCATAAGAATTGATGAAGCCAGACTTTATTGCCAATGATAAAAATAAGAGACCACATCACTGAAATAAACAAGTTCTCCAATTTCCATTTAGTTTGGACAAATATGATACACAAAGAAATTCAGAAAAGTTACATTCAGAAAAGTTACTCTGAATGGTGTGCTCTCAACAGTGTTATATACACATAATTTCCACCAAAGAAACCAGAGATTATTGAAGTATTTCTAGCCATTGTCCAATTCTGTTTTAAAGTTCACAGTCTCTAAATAATTGCAGTCTACTAGGACAAAGGGAAAAAAGGTACTTCCACTCCGGCTATGCAACTTTTATGAAAAAGAGTAGTAGAGGACTGACACAATATTTATAACACAGTAGCACTCAGTGTTTGCCCTTCTGACATGTCTGAGACTGTCCTTTGATCATTCTTTTAGATCTTTGGTAAGACTTCTAAACACTTTTTTTTTGTTATTTTGCATAAGATAAGGCTCAGCATTTTTCAAAGCTTTCCCTTAGCGATGTTGCCCAGAAGAAAGTAGAACACTCAGTGTTCAACTAATGAGTGATATGAAAGGAGAAAGTTAATATTTTACAGCTTATTTAACTGAAAAAAATAGTTTATTTACTTAGTTTTTGAATTTAGTTTTGTCTTTTCTACCACAGATTTAACAGTTTGTAGCTCCTATTTACATGAAACAATTACATGCATTACAGCTTGCTTTCTTTTGAGCTCTCAGAAACATCACAAAAAAATATTCTACATGAAGCCTTGTATCCATGTTTAGATTTACCAGTTTCCTTATATTTGGTGAAGACATTCTGTCCAACATTTTAAAACTCTCTAACACCTACCTGCTTCACTATTGATCTACAAATGTCACTGATATTTGTCAGATGTGATGCTACATATGTGTGTTTCCTAAATCAAGGGCTGCATGCTCTAACATCGGATAAATAAAGATATCAAATCAGAACACTATGTGAGATGTTACCGAATTACTTGGAAATTATAGTATAGAGGAGCTTTGTCATAAGGTGATAGTGTAGATTACTGAAACATCATGAGTAAGATGTTTTGTAAACAATTTTACCTGAGAAAGCATTACTATAGTATCTTGAGAGTGTTTGCATAATATCTTTGGAATGCTGAGTCCATGGAGCAATCTTTCTGTATGTTTTCACTCTGTGGACAAGCTGAGAGCCTCCATACTGCAGAGAAAGCGTGTCTCCATGATCTTCATATAATTCTTCAAATAATCTGAAGGAAAAGCAAAATGTGTCATCTATCAAACTTCTGAATAGAATTTTTTAAAGAGAAAATATAATAAAGCCTTTCTGCAAATGCAATACAATTTCTTCTCCTTTATTCAGATAAATATGTGGAAATTTTATTCAGACATAATAATTACTAAGAAGGTTTAGACTTTGAGATTTTCATTACTTTTTAATATAAAAGAAGAAGTTCACACAGAGTATGCAATTCTGTAGATTCAGGAAATGGATTAACACATCCCACTACTTAATGGGGAGAAAATAAGTAATATATTTCTAATAACCAAGGCATGTTTAATACACTAAAAAGGGCCAGAACACATCAATATCTCAAGTATACATTCTCTGTTAAGTAATGTTAAGTAACCAGTAATGAAGTTAGCATAACCTTCCAAAAATCTCCATAGTTACAATAATGATGGCTCAAAGGTAAAAAATGAATAAACATGACTTGTAAGAAAATGGCAGTCAAGTAACATTTTCTGGAGCTGGAAAATCTTGATGTAAGCAGAAACCAAAAAGAATTGGCTAAGAATTGATTTGAATGAGGAGAGCTAAAATGCTAGAAGAAAAAAATAAGTGGTCCTCTGGCATCAAGAAGTTTACACTATGCAAACTGGGATTAGTCCAAATAGCAAAAATAAAACAAGCTTCCTAGCAATGACAAGAACAAGACAACAGTCTCAGAAAAAGAGGCTATCCTAAGGAGATGACACTCAGTCTAAAAGATAAGCGACTGAAAAGTTTCTCAAAAATGGAGACTATGGCCTTGCTTGAGCAAGACAATGACAAAGATGATATTTAGCTAAAAAAGACTGGAAGTTTAGTTAAGAGGCAAAAAACCCCAAACCAGAACAAAACAAGCTCCAACCCCTTACCAAAACTAAAAAGCAAACCCCATCACTAAATCTGTGGGAATATGTTTCATATCAGTATAGGACGACAATGTAACTCAGGCATCTACATGTAATACCTGCAGAAGAAAGAAGTCCTTGAGGAGTGAAAAGGAAGACAGAAACAAACAACAAAATAAAATAAAATTTAAATAAAGCACCAAAACAAGACAAAAAAAGTGTTGCCCTAATAAAGTATCCAAAAAAAGGGACAATATTGCATATGTAATCTAGCAACCATCTGACTGAAGTTCTACGTGAAAGGACCTGGATGAAGAATGTTTATCTGAGAAGCAAATCAATTTCTGTAAAAACTAAATAGCTGTCCATCAAATCTTCTGTCCAAGGTCAAGTGCAATAAGTTCAATTAGAAGTAAACATCTGCTAAGTAATTTTAAAAAAACAAAAGAAAAACCCCAAAACAACAGACAGAAAAACCCTCAAAGAAATAACCCCAAACCCACTTGCCTCCACACAAATTGTTCAGAGATCATGATACCATGTATGAGAATCTCATTTTTTTCTTTGGGTTTGGTGGGTTGGTTTGTTTTTGTTTGACCAGCAGCCCCAGGAGGCTGCATAGCAACTGGTGCTGGCAGCAGGAATTATTTATTCCCAGAGGTAAACTCAGAACACAGCTCCCAGCAGTTGGGGCACAGTGGATGACAGGCACTGCTAGCACACCCAGCAAGCCACCAGCGGGTGCTCTCCCTGGCCACCAGGCAGAGGCCAAGAGCCACCATGTGCACAGTGAATCAACATGATGCAGGTGAGGTGATTTCTGCAGCACATACCAGCTCCAGGCACTGCTGGAAACTCATGGAAAAAAAGAGGAGGGAGCTGAAGGTGTATCTCAATCAAAGAGGACTGAAGCCTGACTACTTGTGGTTACTGAATACAAGTTAGGTCTCCATCTAAAGCTATCAAACCACTAGTCAAAATCAGCAATGAAGCCACAAGAACAGCTTAACGGGATAAAAACACAGCACCTCAAAGGCTCCTACATTAATTTCTGAACCATGTGCACAAGTTAACCAGCTTAGTTCACCCTGATCCCCAAAGCATTTCAATACAAAAGCTGGATTTTCATAAAGGGTTTGAGGATGCTTTGTGTAAGTAGCATTGACACTTGATCTGAAAGAACAATTTTGCTGAAAAATGTTTCTTCAATAAATCAAAAGCCATGAAATCTTTCAAAAGAAAATGTAGGAAATAGCAAGGTAGGATGTACTTCTATACAATTACAAGTTTGGTATTGTCCATGAAAGTATGTATTTATTTCAGTTTTCACTCTCAGTCAACATTCTGCCTCAAGCAATTGAAACAAGTGTAAAAGACTGAGGCAGAGGTTTTCTTAAATTTATTTCAAAGGAAAACCTATCTCCTTAGGTTTAGGCATATAAAAAGAATGAAATCAAGCAGTTATATCGTAAGACTGATCAACATTTCCAGAAGATGGAACTTTTAGCATGACAGGGTTTTCTCAAGATTAAAAGTATGAAATATGTTTTAAACTTGGATGAATAAACATTAAATCACTCCAGCAGAAATAACTGTGTGCTTCTTCTACATGGACATAATTCTCCATAATCTCTTGACTCAAAATTAAAAATTAAAACCATGACACACTCTATTAATCTATCTTACCTTACAGCATCTGTATCAAATTGTAAGTTTGGTTTATCAATCAATCCCAATGAATACAACTGGTAGGCCAAAGCACATTTCCCCACCATAAACTGGGCTGTGTTAGTGCGATCTAAACAGTCCACACAGTTGGTTCGGAGGACTCCAGTCTGGTAAAGCAATCCAAATAAAAGATTTATATTAATCAACAAGTTGCTACACTCATGATTATGACTTTTTTACTACTACCTAAGTCTTTTCAAATCTCAAATTATGTCTTAACAAAAATTTGAGGGAAGATATTTCTAGGAAAAGTTCAAAAGCAATTAATCTCTAGCAAGCTACATCAGAGTGCTGTCATACCTATTTTCAAAATATTCTTGCTTTTATCATCACACCAACTGTATGTTCCTTCAACTCACAAACAGCCCTGAAGAAGTCACAATTTGGATGTGACTCACAAGATGTCTAGTCAGAGATGAACTGTGATCTGAATGCTTACATGTATGTCACTGATGACTCTCAAATTATTAAAGATAAAATAATCGCTTTCCTACTATGTAAGACTAACATAAAAAATTTAACTAGGGTTAATTTTTTATTTTTTTTTTAAGAGATCAAATTCTATCTGCTCTGCTGTTTATCAGCCCTCAACAAACACATCCCAGTGATCACTAGTACAGGAATGTTCACATGCTCTCTAACTTACAAGAAATAGAAAATTATGGATGGCAAGTCAAAGTAAGTAATGCTTCTTAAGAACATGCCCTGTGTTCAGGGTATATAACAATAACATTCAGGTATTAATTTGATACTGTATGGTTTGCAGTTTAGCCAGTACTTTTCCGACCTTAAAGGAAGACATGTTTCTAGTGTTATTTTCTTTTAGTGCTGGCAACTGTAACAATGTACAGAATATTCAGCACTGGTGAAAATGTCAGAAACCCATATTCATGTGCGTGAAGATGTTACCAGGGTTAAGTATGTGCTTATTCCTCACTTCTGTGTAACATTTTATGACCCAGTTTGCTAAAATGCTGCTTGTTCAACTTTCACTGCACCGGTAACATTACAGACCAAACAGTTATAGAAACTAATTTAAAATACAAGCATTTCTCAGACTAAGTCTAGCAAAGATACAATTCCAACACTATAAGGTTTTGGGGTACCATGCAAGAATACAAGGCCCTCATGCCCAACTGTATTTCTAGCAAGGACAGCCATAATAATGTGTACTATAAAAATTAATTTAAGAGCGGTCTGTGAGTCACCACACAGGTATTTAAGTGAAATGATTCATTGCTCTTTGGGAGTGCTGACCAACACCACTATAACTATGAACTAAAAAAGTATATTTTAGCACCTGCAAGCGACCAGTGGAAACAACACAACCTCCCAGTTCATTCCACCTGGAAAAGAAACAAAACAGAATGACTTTCAAATTATTTCATAAAATAACAGATTCTATTATGTATTGCTCTACTCAGCGATAAATAATTACTTCTGGATTTTCAGGTATTGAGGGACTTCATCTGCAGCAAATACGGTTTCTATTTTTAAAAAAAGTTATACATTTTGTATTTATAAAACTGTGCAATCTGCTGGTTAACCACAGACTCGGTAAGATTTAGATGACAATTATTCTATTAGTATGTCTCAAAAGAAGCCACCTAGTAATTTCCAAATTAGTAAGTCTTAAAATAAGAAATTAATTCTTAAACATAGAAATTCCAAACAGCTTCCTAAGGAATAGGTGCTATTCATTATGCATCAACTAAATTATAGGTGTACTTTTCATCTGGACGCAAGATACTGCAGTAGGAATCAGGTCGATTTACAAAAAATCCAGTCTTCTTTACTACACTTTCTGCAATCACATTCAGTCTGTCAAGGACATTGCAAAGTTTGCTGAGGAGGGAAAAAAAAAAAAAAAAAAGAGACAGTCAAGATACATTAATACAAAAAAATTTGAAAAAAAATATGAAAAGCTTTTCCATAACAAAAATGATTTCAAAACAGGCCCATATCACAGCTTTATGCATCCAACAGTAATTATGTCTATAGTTCTCCTAGATTTTACAGGAGAGACTGACTGTTGAGCAATCTGAGCAAATCTGAGCAATTTTGCTTCTTTTTGATGAAAAATATTACATAAACTAGAAGCAAAAGATATAAAAAAACCATAAAACTCCTTGAGTTTTACATCACACTGGTTTTTCTCTACCAAACTTTCTGTGATTCAAAAATATGAATAAGGCAGAAATGGATGTATGATTATGCTGAACCACATTCCCTTGTTTTGTTTGCAAGTTGCTGTTTTGTTCAGTAACATTTGTTTCCATATGTGTATTGCAGCTACAAACACGAGTATGGAAAAGACTTTTTCTACCTTTTAGTGTATTTGGCCATATCCCAGGGTATATATATAATTGCATGCTCTGGGGGTAAGAACTGGTTGAGATATGTCACAGCAGCAACAAGTTCTTCACTGAGAATCCTTTCATGCTTTCTTTTTTCACGTTCCTTTAGCAAAAAGAAAAGGAATTTAACATAACAATTTACTTTAATATATTTATTTAAACATATATAACCCAAACACACGCACACATACATGTATGCATATATAATGGAAATCAAAAGTGGAAGCTGTAACAGCAGCAGGCAGTTCTTCATAAACAGTAAAATTTAGTTAAGAACAAGAAAGATAGAAAAATCTGAACATTCTAGGTTTCTAACAATTGATTTGTATTAGTAGTAAAAAGTCACCTGTTTCAAGTGTGCATAATCACTGGCTGAAAAATGGAATGCTGTAAGTATAAAGAAGAACACAGAAAAATAAAAGTGGCAATGTAGACGAAATGAAGAACCACAAAAGAGAAGCAAAAACACAGGCAGAAATGTGTTCCACACATTCAGTTGTGGAATAGGAGGAAAAAGGGAAATTCCTCTCAATTTCTGGCAAGAGATGGGAAAAAACAGCTCCCATCCTCCAGTCTTGCAATAATTTTTAAAAATTAGAATTGTGTTGCCATTGCCTGAATATAACACATGTTTTCACAGAACCCCAGAATGGTTTGGATTAGAAGAGACTTTAAGGTCATCTAGTTCTAACCTTGCTTTGAATGGAAACATACTATTTCAGTAGATTTTAGTGCTAAATTAAATTTAGTGGTAAATTTATTTGGACCTAGATCTAATGGGTAGAAAAAAATTGAAGAGAACAGTGGCAGGTTACTGTAAGAAATCTCTAAATATGGGAAATTTTGGTTTTGAAGGGCTATAGTGAGAGCAGAGTTATGTACTGTGTCCTGTAGGATGAGATTTATGAAGAAAATATTCCACTTGTAAGCTAATATTAGTTTTAGAACATAACCAAAACAACACAGTGACTTTACAGAAAGAAGAATAATATTAAAAATCAAACACAGAACATATTCCAAATATTGTACCTTCACAAGATTCAATATAATAATGGGAGAGCCAAATCTCTGAAGCATTTGATCAAAGTGAAGAGCAGCAACGTGTGCATAAGGATCTGCTTGGTCCACTGAAACAAAGATAAATTGAAGATGATAGTTACAATTTTCCCTTAATAGTATTCTTCACAAAAGATGCATTAATTCTCTGGTAGTAATGACACAATTAAATACTTTCCCCTCTTTTCATGCAAAAGCTGTTAAAAAGTATTCCCTTTGCCGAATTGCAGGAAACTTCTTAAATTTTCATGAAATGCTTATAGAGACCAATTATTCTGCCCCCATTAATCTCAGCCCAGACATTTTCCACCATTTTCAACAAGTTTAATATTTTATCCACAATACTAAGATAAATGTAGCTAACTTTGCACACAAAGTAATACAAAGAAAGCTCACATCTTCAAACAAACTTTTCCTATTTAATTTCTGAATGTGAAGTCTAAGATGGAGTTTTTTTTCTTAATTTTTTACTTCAAATTATGGCTTCACAAAGCACAAGTGAACACACAATTTGTTCATTTCCGCAAATTCAGTTTTCACTTATTCTCTCAGATGTTCCTTTAGGCCAAAGCATTAGCCATAATCTATCACAAAGAATAATTTGTACATACGTGTTATGGGTGGCTTAGGCATCATAGTTGAAATATCTTGAGACCAGTACAGAGGGACAGACCCTCGAACCTGAACATATGAAGAATAACTGCCCGCAGAAAATGACATAACTGAAGCATCATAAAGTATTTGTTCAGTTTCCACTTCATTAGCAACATCTCCCTAAACCAAACAGAAATACACATATGATGTAGACACGACATTCAAAGCTGCATGCAGTACAGAGAACTGATCATTAAAAACAGAGCACAATTAAACTGTGAGACACTGACTCAGAGTAGCGAGAACAACACTGAAGGTTAAATTCCCCTTTTTCCCTAATGTATATTACCATATTTTTATTTTTTCCCTCAGTTTGGAAAATAACATTATCTCTAAGTGTAAAAAATCAAAACAAATGCCTATATAGAACTAGTAAATTTATTATTTTAAGAACAACTTTATTATGCCAATGAAAAATGTAATGATACCTGCGATAACATCATCCAATAGCATAGTTATATTCAAACCCTTAACAATCCTATAAACCATTTCAGCTCTTCAGTCAGTCAAGTTCAAGCTTTCATACTGGGGAGGAGCAGGAGGAAACAACCCCTAAAATCATATTTGATTTACCTCACAGTTTGCTCCTCGTTTTAGAAAACGTGTTCCAGCAAATTTGCTTGATCTTCTGGCTATCAGAGTGACATATATAGGGCGGCCATATATTAACAGTTCTTGAAAGAGAAGTTAAGGTTTACATGTCACATGCAATTTTTTGTTCACTTACTTTATGCATGCAAAAATAAGTTCTAACAAAACTGCATTAAATCGACATATCTGATTTACTAGAATCACCTTAACAGTGATGCGTATCACTTCCAAACTTATTTTGCATCTGGAAGAGAATATTGCCCTTTCCAACTATCTGTTTTAAGAACTTTGAAAAGTGAATCTACATTGCAATACATCACCCACTTTTCAGAATCTACAAAAGACAAGCACCATTTCTCGTTCATGAAATTACAGTGAAGGTGAAATAGATACAAAAGATACGCCTAGCACTGCAAATATTGCTTTTGTGAATGCTGGGATTAAAACTTTGGAGCTTCATTTTCAGATGAAGTATATTAGTCACCCTCTAATTATTTGTTTGGAAAAATAGACAAATTTGCAACCACTTAAGTAACAACAACTGAAAGCCAGAGACAAACAGGCTACGGATGCAGTGGTGGCTTTTTTATAGTCTTTTTCCATTTTACTAAAAACAAACAGAGCCTAGTGTGACTATTGCTGCTTCCTCAGTGTGAGGCACAAGAAAGAGTTAAGAAGACATTTGCTCACACACTAGGCAGCTGCAGGCATAATGCTGGTGGTCGGATCCAGCTTTGATTAAGTAAGACCACAAATGAAATAGTGGCATATAAAAGCACATCTAGCTTTTTATCTGGGGACTAAGCCAATGACCAACAGTCTTATAATCATAAAAAAGCAAAATTAAATTTTGCAGGCACCACTAATGTTAACTTTCCAATTGTATTTGCTTCCCCAGAAATCTAAAGCTAACACAATAATATTGGCGAATAAAACAGAGTGTCTTCATAATACACTAAATTCTTAACACATGACATGACATTTCTTTGGATTGTGGTATGTGTTTGGACGTTTGTTTCTCCTGCTACAATGTAAATAGACCTGTTTAATCATTTAAAATAGTATATAGTCAAAAAAGGGACTTTCACATGTCCTAGTGCTCTTCACACAACAGGGCTGAGGTTCTGTCATTGCCTTCAACAGAAAGACAGTAAATACAAGAATTTCTGCAAATCTCAGTTACTGAAAAATATTTTAGAGACGATTTTAGAGAAGGGCATTTCTATGGCAATGTCATGGTTTAAACACAGCTGAAACCAGATCAGTCAGCAATTCAGTTCTGCTTAGCTTTTCTCCCTTTTTTCAAATATCTGTGAAAAAATACAGCTGAGCCTAAAAATCCTCTCAAGTTCTTTACTACTAAACCCCATTCTTATAAACAGAGCCTCACTGAAAATCAAGTCTACCTGTGTTAGGGCACTCTTACAGTATTTCTTACTTAGAAAGTAATGAAAATAAAAGCCAAACAATAAGTATAAAACTGAATGGTATTTAAAATGACAAAGAAATAATTCAATGTTCAAACTGTGTTTTTTTCAAAATTGATAAACCAAAATTCTTTACAACATTAGAAGGATACTTGATTGTCCACAGAATCCATGAATAATATATAGCAGCCAGTCACGATGAACAGCAGTTCTTACTGCTTCCAGAAGCTTGGCATTCCACACATACTTTTCGTAAGGCTTACTGCAAATCCCAAATACACCTAGGAGGTTGTTACAATGAAAATGCATTAGCAATTATGAAAGAAGCTCACCTGCTTTAAAATCCAAGACATTGGATCTTTGTTTTGATTTTTCCCTTGACTGCAACTCAAGTAATTTACTCGCATCCTTGAATCCTTTGCCGAACACAGGTAATTTCAGCACATGCTGAAGTCCAGTGTTTATGAGGATTTCCAGATTTTTTATAGTTGCCAGTCACTGTTGTGATTGAGTGCCTTCATGCAGAAGTTATCCATATAAAAGAGAACTGTACATAGTAGCATCAAGGGATTTGATAACAAGTGAAATAAAGTAGTGAATTCCAGTTAAGGCAAAAATGCTCTTAGAGGAGGACTTCATAAGCTTCTCGATTCAGGTCACCTCTAATTACTCAGGTTCTGGAAGATCACGTACATCAGTCCTTTTTCACACAATTCAAAACAGTTTTCCTAATTTGCACTAAGAAGCACAGCTATTGTAGACCTGAAAAATAAAAATCTGTTTCTGATCTATCTGGAATCAGTCTTTTTCTGTTTCAAATATCAGGACCAAGATGACAACTGTCATTGAAAGGTGATAGAGGGAATGGAATGAATCTGAAACTTAGAAGAAAGAGGACAAGAATTCAATTTCCTATATTTTTTCACACTTTTTTCAAATGAAGATTCTGACATGACAAATTCTACTGCAACAGTATGAATGTCAATTACAGCAGACAACTACAGCAGTCAAACGTTCCACTGGAGGAAAAAGGAGTTCTTACAGGCTGCAGGTGAAAATGCAGCTGTTGAAAAAACTATTGCTACCTAGACCCAACTTAAGCCCAGGGAAAACTGATGTAAACCAAAATACTTTCCTGAAGGAATTTAGACAGTCAGCAGAAGCTGGTCACAAACACTTAGCTAGCAATTTTCCCTCTTTCTTACTACTAGCACCACTACCTAGGTGAGAATTAATTCTTAAATGACAGGTGGCTATTTGTTACACATATTCTGTGAATAGATAGGTGACTAGCACATAGTGCTGATGGGGTCAAGGTTAGGGCATCTTCATTTCCTACTGTTTTTACAAAGACATAGAAGAGATGGTGACCTTGTAAGGATTCCTGAGGGATCCTCCAGATTAGAGTCTTTGCAGAAGAGAAATTATTACTCTCTTCATTCCTTATGGTCCTTTCTGATAGTGTATTATTTGATAACCAGTTGCTGATATCTTGATATATGTGACCATGTTATTAATATCTTTTGCCTGGGGGCATGGGGGTTTCATTTAACAGAATAAAATTAATATTAAGAATTTCAGGAGAAACTTTCTCTGTGTGTTTGTGTGCACAAAGAAAAAGGGAGAGAAGATAGTTTTTCTCTCTGGCTGCTCATCTTTATACTCTTATGAATATGTTAGATCCAAACCAAAGGCTGAATTTTCCAACCAAAATAAGTAATTTTTCTTACATTTCTTGACAGGGGTTATTACTACAGTAAGATGATGTTAACCTCATACAGTTTCTCTCTTGTCAGTATTCTCCAATATAAAACAAAAAAAAGGTATTAATACTTAATCACTTATTGCTTCCCACTCTCCTTGTAACTCATTCCTGTTGGGAGACTCAGAAGTCAGTTGAGTAATCAATTGCTGAAAAATGTCAGCATGCCCAGTCATCTTCCCAGTTGCAGTGTAACTTAAAACAATGACTACACACTTCTAGAAATCGCGTTGTTCAAACTGAAGTGTATTTGGCACTTCACAGAATCTTTTATTGACTCACAATTGTTAGGACACTACTGACCAACAGGAGAAGACATGAATGTTTCTCAAAAGTAAACCTAAGTGGAACATATTTTAAATGCACTCATGACCAAAATCATCGGTTTAATTAGATGTGCTTGCTTACCACTTCCCCCCTGTGTTGAAAGTCCTTCATCTTCAAATATATCAAAACTCTCTTGTCGGGTTTGGGTTGTTTCAGTTTTTAATGTCTCAAGTGGCATTCTCAGGACAGTAAGATTATACTGAAGGGAGTGAGATAGATCATAGCTGTAACTGATAGACAGTTAACATTTATTAATAATTATGGTAGTTGCAGAAGAATTTTCTGAAAGCCCTTACTTTCCATCTGTACTTATATTTAACACAGTACTGTTTTATAGAAAAGACTTCTGAACAAGAATACAGATTCTAATTCTATAATGGCAAATGATACAAATGATTTATAAAAGAAGCTTTACAAACATAGAAACTGTTTACAGGTTAGGAAGACTGAAAATGTGTTTATATTCTTCTTTTAACTGAAAACTGAACATATCTTTTTAACAAAGCATAGCAAGAAACTTAATTCACCATGTCCCAAGAAGCATTCCACAAGTTCTAAAAAAGTTATTCCATCAGAAATATCTACATGAATTGACAGCCTCATTTTTCTTAGATTTGAGTGCTGCTACTTTCTAACTGCTATCTGAACTCAAAACAGCTAAAAAACTGTTCCACAAAAATGTTATCTGTCCCCAAATATATCATAGCAGCACAGATACATATTAAAGCAGTGTCTACTGAATAAAGAAAAGGGGCTTTTTTTGTTAGTTCGCTAATAGTTGAAGATTTTCCACCTCATGTCTCTTTTAGTAAAACTCTATACCAATTGCTAAAATTTAAGCTACTAGGCTTCTTCCAAAGGAGAACCCAAATGTATGCTACGCTTAAATCACAAAAAGTCATATATTTCCATTTTAGTGTAAGACAGCATCAGTGATTACTGATAGATATTCATGCTGATAGATATTCATACTGATAGATATTCATTAAAGATCTAAAAAAATATTCAAACATTAGACATTTAGATTTATCACTAATGATAATAAAGTGTAACCCATGCATTCACATATTTCCATAATAATGTCCTGACCCATCTGTTAGGGAAAAAAAGAGTCTGTAGCATGCTCTGTTTGCATATTATAGAACCTTTAAACATGTTCAGGCTGTTTCCCCACTCTCCCCTTAGACCAAATATTATCTTATAACTGATTTCTAATTTTCTTCAGGATTTATATAAAAATCATGCAGAAAAATGTGCTATGTTTTCAGCCAAAAACAATTTAAATGAAGCTGATAAATTGAAAAGATTCTAAACAATAAGACAGAATATTAGTATCATCCTATGCTTCTCCTTTTGAAAGTGAAAATCAGGCTAAATATGCAGTTAAAACACAGAGCACAAATACATTTTATGAAAACAATTCTTTTAATGAAAAATAAAACATAAACAGTAAATTATCTGCCAGTAGGAAAATTTTCATTTATGCCACACAGGATTTGTGACAAAAACATACTTTTGTATAAGTCATTCACCCATATTTTTCTGTACAAGAAGTTTTAAACATTTAGTTTATCTTAATTCTACAGTTTCAGCTTGGAGACAAGCAATCTTTGGGAAAACCTCCCTATGGCCTTCCAGTACTTTAAGGGGGTTACAAAAAAGGAGGAACAGCAACTATTTACATGGGCAGATTAGATGGGTGATTAGACAAGGAGGGGATGGTTTTAAACTAAAACTGGAGAGATTTAGGAGGAAATTCTACAGTGAGTGTGCAGTAGGGTTGGAACTGGATGTCAGGAACTGTAAGGTCCCTTCCAGCCCAAATCATTCTATGATTCATTTTATGATAAATGTGTTTATTAGAGTCACCTAAGAATCTTCCCCTTCTACATACAACCATGGAAACAGCACAGATTTGTCATCTCCAAGCAAAGGAGGTAGTGGGGGAAAGTTGTATAATATTAGGGCTGGGAAACAATGCATGGAAGAAAAACTCAGGTTTTATACTGCAAAAAATCTTTCACATGCCAAAGCATGAAACACACATAAAACTTGAGTAGGTTTTATCCTCACAGATCCAGCTGTGAGAAAAAGCCTTCATTTTCCAAGAGGGAGCATCTCCTAGACTGACACACCTTTTGGTAATTGCAAGAGGGATTTTTTTGTTTACTTATTTTTTAAAGTCTTCAAGTCTTCTAACTGCTACAGTCAGGTTTATCACCACATTGCTTCCATTTTTGTGCTGTCCCAAAAATCTCACTTAATAGTAGCTGAGACACAGAAACTTGTCTTAGGTATGACATTTATGAAACAATAAACAAAAGAACTGCAATGCCTAGAAAGCCCTATGAAAGACATACACAGGGTGTATCTTAAATGAGGACCTATTTCACTACCTTTGCCCCTGAATCAAGGCAAAGCTTTATTTATGGAAAATGAGATCAATGAAGAATAAATAACAAGACAAGAACCCCCCCTGAAACAAAATACTTTTCCAAAGAGAGAACTTCTTCATAATCTGGCAGGGCTGAACTGTCTGTGGAAGAAGTAGCTTCAGTATCTATTTTTTTCCATGCCATTAATAGTTCTATGTTTTTTAACTTAATGGAGACTAAATTCCTAGCCAACTGATTAAAGGAGAAAGCAGGTTCAAAACACACAGATGAAAATGGACAAGCAGCATGATCATGTGTCTTATTTCTCCAGAATATCAACCTAGAAGTCTTTTAAACATTTTAAACCTAAAAACAAAACCTATAATCTTCTAGCAAGTATAAGTGCACATTTTTTAAAAAGGAACAGTAACTAATACCTACCTAAAATAGAAGTTGCTAGAAAGATCCACATTTTGAAAGATTCTCAGATACCTAGCAAAATAATTCAAGTTGTAGGAAAAATTATTATTTTACCACACAGAGCATAAGAAGTCATTCAGAGGATCACAGAAAATAAACTACATATAATATTGATTCTTGCCTTACATTCTCTTCCTATCTTACTGTAATTGTTTTGACAGGTAATTACACTAGAATGTCAGCATATGGATTAAATAAATCAAATACAATTTTTTCTAAAAAAAAAGAACTAATGTCTACTCATATGCATACTCTCTTTAGGCAGTTGTAAAGTTGTGGTTCTATTTTCCACTTATGTACATCAAATTTTCCAGGACTTGAACAAGAAAACTCTCAAAAATACTATAAAATAAATATTTCTTTTCAGTTACCCACAAATAAATGAACAAGAAAAGAAATATCTAGTAAATCTGTCATAGCCTTGCAAATTCCCAGAAGAAACCATTACATTGTCTATGAATAATAAAATGGCTGACACCATAAATATATAGGTTAGATAACATGGTCTACTGTACACTAAGAGGAGAGACTGAGGTCTGTGACCAATCCCACCTTAAAGTGGATGTTTTTTAATATTTACTACTGGCTTCATTCATTACCTGACATCAATTTATCATAAACCATCACTTTTTCACTATTCACACTTAGTACAGACTGAAAAGCAGTTTATGGATACCATATTGATAGCATAGAAGCAAAGTTACCCTACGCTAATAAAAACATAAAGGCTCAAATTTCTCTCTTCATAAAAAAGTCCTTGAAAAGAAAGGAGCAGTTAAACTTACCAGTGAATCTTTTCACCATCCTTTACAACTGCAACATTCACAAGATTCTGACAGCACAGAATCATTTAATAATCTATTCAGCACTTTTTGAAGGGCACAAAAGGTCTCTTCAGGTGAGATTAAATCATGCAAGAGCTACTAAATAAAGAACAGTGCCCCAAGTTGTACAAACCAGTATTAGCATTAAATTGCCTTTGCAGGAACAATGCTTATATTTGACACTTCTTGGTGCAGATTTGCTAAACTTAGCTGTGACATAGATGTGGACAATAAACTCTAGAAGACTGTGTCAGTTGTATTTACTCTCCAGATCAGAAGCCACAGAATTGTAACCTATTTTCCATCCAACAAGATAAAATGGATTAAATGACATACTAATACAAAAAAAAACATGACAGAAATTTCCAGTTGCAGTTCAACATTGTTTAGAAAATATTCAAAAAGTACACACTGATTACCAGCATTATTTACCTGGCCTCATCAGGATGACTAACTCTTACAGAGTCATTTGGAATGTAGATCATATTTGTATCCTCTATTTTATATATTGCATGACCTCCAATATCTGCCATTTTTCTTCTTTTTGTTATTAACACAATGTAGTAGCCTTCTAAAAACCTGACAAAACCTGTTAAAACATATTTAGCAAAACAGAATCAGAATTGTCTCAAGACTGCAAATAATTTTTATTTGTTCTTAATGTTATAAGCATATATATACAGTCTTAAAATTCATTCCCATTAATCAATGAAATACATAGTTTTTACTTATTTCCCCTCTCACTGTGGGTTTTTTTAATACTAGGTAGCAGAGTTAGGACACTGAAAATCTGGACTATGTTTCTGTCTGCTTAACATGCTTGTACTTGTTTTTGATACGACTGTCATTGTTCAGAGTGAGGCATACTCTATTTACTTCAGACACCAAAAGGTTAATTTTCCAGGGTAAGGAAAAATCCCAGGCTCCAATTTTCTTTTCAGGTTCACGTATTCTCTGGGGGGGAAGGACACAGAACAGCAAAAGGACTTGGGGGTAAAACACCACCTTTGTGTTCTTTCTCCTTAATACCAGGGATTTGAATTCCTTGACTAGAGCAGCATCTCCCCCAAATCAGCCATTCAGAGTATCAGGGGTACTCCTTTTTTTCCTTCAACACTTGACTCTGCTGAAATGCAGAAGGCTAAGAAGGCAGAATAGGCAGTGTCTGGTTTTATTGCCCGTAAATTGATGGCTTCTGAAGCCTCCACCCTTATTCTCTGCAGGGCATAGCCCTGCTTCTTCATGGAGTGCCTTCTTTGAATACCTCGATTATATATCATCAGGAAAAAGTGTAACAAATCTTTAAATACAACACAAATGTAGAAATTCAAATGAAAAATAGAAATCTATAACCACCCCTGAACTCAAATGTGTTACTAATACAGTAGAGTACAGCAGTAATATGCTTTAATAAGTAATAAATTACATTAATTAGCTATTTTAGGTAGCTGCTCTGATAGGTTGCTGTGAGCTTGAAACTCACTACTGCACTATCGGCAAATAAATTAATTTGAGGAGGGAGGTGATGATGATGATGATACAAATGGACTCTCACAATTCATAGTTTTACTTGGATTTATACTCAGTTCATTTTGCTTTGCATAACAAAGTAAAGAAGAAGGATGAGGAGAGCACACATTTTCCTCCCTGTCACTGCTGGAGGCTGCAACGTGATCGAATGAACTGCAATCTTTTCTTCCAGCTTATTAGCCCCCCCTTGGAAAAATGCTCTCACCTGCACAAAGACAGGAAGCCCTGCTGACAATAAGAAACAAACCTTCCATTTCAAGCAGACTATTGAATTTCAGTTGTTAAATAGTAGTCACAGTTCTTCCTGTATCCTCCAGGTACTAAAATCACTTATGTGAACAGCCTCTGTCCTTTGAATTTCACCAAACATTATACCAAAGTCTGATAAGGAACTGAGCCTTTCTCCTTGGCCTGATTCCCTCCCTTTAACCTTTAAAAGCAATTTCTACTTTTAAACACTACACAGTAAACCAGAGCCCAGCCTATCAGCACCCCCATTCTGACCACACTGAATGTACAGAATCTGGTTAACGAAATAACTAGAAGACAGAACAAAGCTCTTATTTACAATTTTATAAAAAATAGCCCTGTTCTTCTGACCTGAGCCAGAAGACAGAAATAAACAACCAATTTCATTCCCTCAAATTACATGTTTATACAGATATGGTCTGAATCATGTAATTTGGAAGTATATAATCTGATAGTCTGTTAATCCTAGAGTTGTCTAGAAATACATATACCATATCTGTTAAACACTGCATTTGTGCAGCTACAGAATAGAAACTCTTCTGCTATGAACAGTACATATAAACAGTCATACAAATGGGATGCAAAATTTTAATTGATTGCAACCAAATATTTATCACATTTTTAGACAGTGATCACTGATGGCTTGTGCAAAAAAAAAAAAAAACAATGCTGCAAAGCTATTAGAAGCTCCTTTAGGTTTACCCATATTATGAATACTCTTAAATCAGTAAGAGACATAATCACTACCTGAGGAATTTCTGAAAAGCTGGATGCATTGATAAAATGCTTCACAGGCAAAAAGAATGAACAAGAAAGTCTTCTAAATTTGCCACTTTGGATTAGAATAGAATTTTATTATGTTTTGATTGTTATGCAAAATTCAGGAGCATCCTTTAAAGTAATTGCATTCTCTACCCTCTCTGCAGCTTTGGCTTTAGATGTCCAGGTGTATATTGACTCTAATAAACCACAAAGTATTCTTGAGGGCTATCACAGCACATATTAACATTTACTTTAGATACACCAGCAATCAATATACTGACCTCAGTATTAGACAGTAGGCAGGAAAGAACTGACTTTCAGATAAAGTTAGAAACTATTAAATCCTTGAAGCAATGCTTGAGGATTATGGACAGCTGAGCAGCATTTTAGAATTCAGCTGACATACCAGTCAGTTATACTTGTTCAAACATGAAAAAGAAATCTTTAAATATGTCACTGCAAAAAGTTAACCAAAAAGAAAAGTCATCTTCCTGAACAGTGCCTGATAAAGAAATATAGGCTAATAAAGAATGTTAATTTTCTTTCTAAAAAGCATTCTGTGAGCTCTGGAATTCAGAAGCCAGGTTTCACATGATTTGTATCCCAAGATCAGCCGAGTTTGGCACGATCTTCAACCAAGTTTCTAGAGTCTGGCTATTCCCTAGATCCGTCCCTTAGTGACAAAGAAAAGACTGGTTACAGCACAACTTTCACCCCTGTACTGACCACCTGTTTTCAAAAAATACACAGAAACTTAGTTATCTTTGAGCATGACAAATTTCTAAATCCTCTTTAGTTTTATACATAAATAAAATCAGGGGGAGACTGAAAGATATGCAGCATGGCACAATAAGACTCACCTCCTAGAAAAACAAAAGATTTTATAAAATCTACCAAAACACTTACCTACTATACCAAAAGCAGAGACAGCTCGAGATAACCCAGAAGAACCCTTCTGTCCCATCTTTGTTCTGTTTCCCAGGTCTAAACGACCAAGAAGTTCCCTCACCTCTTGTTGTGTATAAACATGCTTTAAAATAAAGAGTCACAGAAGTTATTGTTTGGTAGTTAAATGTTATTTCATGCCAGAGAATAGCAGAATTTGCTTAATCTCTGAAATATACAATAAACCGAAGGCCTGCTCTACATTCAACTTCAGTGCTACCAACAAGTAACCAGCATTATTTGAAACAACTGAGAAAAAACCCCAGCAGCTAAATACAGAGGCACTTACCTTATCATCAATTATAACCAAATCCTTTGGTTCAGTGCGATCTATTTTCAAAACACGGTATTTGGTTTCTGCAGGATTACTTCCAACTAGAAAATACCGCTACATAAAAGAAAACCAACAAAATAAGTCAGAATATTATACAAGATCAATCAACCAAAACCCAGTGTAACATAAGACATCAGCAAAGCCATTTACATATTGTCTAGACCAGATCCATTCCTCAACAGCAAATACGCAATATTCCATATGGACTGTTAATAAACTGTTTTAGACAAATATATCTTAGGAATATTTCTCCTTTGTGCAAGGAGAAAAAAAAATTAAAATCAAAGTTTAAAACCTGTTTAGAGAAGATAAACTGTAACTTACACCAGGTACTGTCCAACCACACCTTGCCCCAGCCATTACTGTCTTTTCACTTGCTTTGTAAAATTTAGTAGAAACTTACGCATGAGGTTTTAACTTCTCATGATCTAAAATGTCTGTTGCTATATTGTACTCCTTTGCAATTTCTGCCAACTAGTCTTTCCTGATCCATACTAAACACTGCAAAATTTTGAGTACTTCAGTACTGCAAGTTTTCTTCTATTTTTATTTATATTTGCTATGATAGTCTTCTCAACAATGTTCTTCCACAAAACTGAAATTTTCTGGTTAACAATACTACTGTTTAAAAGACATTAGCTTTACTTCACATTTAAAATATGAAAGAATGACCACAGATAAACATATAGGATGTCAATTTTTCATGTAAGGAGATCAAACTAGATTAATTTCTACATTTAGAGGAATTAACAGTAAGCACGGGTTGCAGGACTGACTTGCTAAAAGTAGCTCTCATTTTTTCTAATTCATTTAATCAGTGTGGTGCTAGCACAGCAAGATGGAACTCATTAATAACGCTCAGCCTAGTAGGAAAGCATGGCAAATTCATGTGGATCTATGCAGTCAGCTCTTAACTCTAAGAGTCACATGGATTTAAGATGTGGGAAAGGAAATCAATAACCATATTCATATAAACCTCACAATTTCATAATTTATACCAATTAGATGTTAAGAAACATTTTTACTCTTAAAATATTTAAGGCAAAAGAAGTACTTGAAGCCCTCTTCAGCTTCCTTGAATTCACAAAAGACAATAGATGTTCAGTAAGCTCTAAACAGGAAAATAAAACACCGAACTTCAAAATGCATAAAAGCAAACACCACCAACTTCTGGCTCCACCTTGTACACTGCTGTTACTATGCTAACTGAGTGGTAAGTTCTGATGTTTACTTCCAAATAACAGAAAGAAAGCCCTTGAAATTCATATGTCATTGCAACACTCCCTCACTGAAGCCTTTGAGGCAGCACTTTGGCACACGAAAGAAACACCAAGCCACCAAGACAGACACTTGCTTTGACCATGCCATTATACTATCTTTTTCTCATGCAGCAAAAGTGAATGGGCAGAGGGAAATATACTCATTTTTAATACTCAGATGATAAGTTAGTATGCATTTCAAGAGTACAGCTTCTTTATTTGTAGAAAACTGTTAGTTAATTAAAACTAAATAATTTTACGTATTCCATAATACTGCAGTACGGCTCAGTGATGTCCCACTATGTCCAGCTCACTAAATGAGTGCAATTTCTTCCCAAAGTGATACCTACGGTTACCAACAAATAATACTGAATAAAAACAGAAGAGCACAACTCTAGGATGCTTGTCCTAATGCCAGTTTGGACCATAGAGCACATTTAGAATTGGAACACACATGACACACAGGGAAGAGAGAGAGAGAGAGAAAGAAATGGATATAGAGTTGCAAATGCTATTACTAAGGAAGTTCAGCTGGATACTTCTGCATTTCCATTTTAATTAGCCAGTAAAACATAACAAAGTGCTATGAGGAATGCATCACTCAGATCACCTTGGCAGCTGCAATAGAGGGCTCTGCACAGCTGAAGGGCCAGCTTTAGGTACTGCTGCTGCTCAGAGCAGAAGCAGTTAGATCAGATGAAGAGTAATTGTACCTGCAGACCATAGAAGCAACCACCATAATGAATGGTATTTAACAGGCTCTCTGAAGTAATTTAAAGACTAATTTACGGGGTTTAAGCTGGAGAGCCAGACTGTGTAATGTATTAAGGAAGGTCAGTTGAGAGCAGCATCAAACCTGAGCATCAATGGACTTAAAGTAAGGCAGACAATGAGAAATCTCTATTTAGAAAATGGGCGTTTTATCCGCTGCATGTTAGAGGATATTCTTGTGGAAGTAATAAAGGAAACTTCTGCAAAAACTTTTGAATTTGGGTTAGTGTTCAAAATTAGGAACCCAAAATTAAACCTCTGCTTGGGAAGTTTTCAGGACTGGCTAACATCCCCAGAATTACTTGAAAAACAGCCTGATATGCCCACTCATATTCAACCTTCAAGATCTGAAAGAAAAACAAAGATTGCATGAAAACTAACGGTGAAAAAAAATACACAAAAAAAGACACTTCAGCATTAGCTGTATCTCCTACGTAATTTATGCATCTAATGAATAAATGAGTCTGTCTCACTGGATGACACAGAGCACAAATAAAACCGTATCAGTGACATGTGCTGCAATTATATTTCCCATCACATGAATACTAGGAAATTACAAAGAAAAATACCAAATCAACACAACACTGAGTATGTAACAGAAAACATATAGTTGTAATATAATTGTAAAATTAATCAAAGCTAAAGTGTGCTGTAGTGTTTACAACTCTTTTGATTAACAGATATTGTTACAATAAAAAAAAAAAAAAAAGAAAAAGCTATGGAAACCTTTCTGGGAGTATTTATCCTTATTCTGTTCATTACTAAGTTGAACTGAATAATTTGAAACATTTCCCAAGCATCTCAAGCAATTCCACTCCACAGCACAGACATTGCATTTAGATAAACAGGCAACCTTGACCAACAAAGTACTTTTTCCAGAGAGCAGTACACCAGGAGAAATTGCCAGCTGCCTCACCCTGCTCTGGCCAGAGCCCTGCAACCATACCTGACGTGACCCATGCTGCTTCCAGGTTTACTCTGCCCCGGCCTTTTCTGAAATTTGTTAACAAGCACACTTTACCAACCATGGCAACACACCAGGCAGCTACAAGAGCTGGACTGAAGCTTAATTTATTGCACAATTATCACTAAGCAACCACAAGATAGGAACAGTTATTAGTCATTTCCACCTGGGACTGAGTTTTAACCAAAGCAATCTAATTGAAAGGCTTTACACCATCTTTTATCAATCTTTTGATTCAGCCAAAGCAAACAAAACAGCTTCTTCTAAAAGGAGTCTAAACAAAATAAAAAGACTTCTTACTGTGATTTGTTGTTTTTTAATGGCAGGATAATAGTTCTGAAACATTCTGCTCACTTCTCATTTTTTTCCATTTTTTCTTTAAGATTGCTTCTTAGAACCCTGAGTCTATAACTACAATTTGCTTCTTTTTATAGACTAATTATGAATAAGAAATGCCAGCACAGCAAAAAACTTTTTCAATCCTCAGTTTAAAAGCTACAAACAACTTAATCAGCAGAAAAAAGCGCAAAAATACAAGTTGAAAAATAGGCAATGCACTAACACAGAAAATTTTTAAATGTGCAAATAGCATTAAGAAAACACTTATGCTCTTAGACAAAAAGTACCTGTTGAGACCATGGATGTGTCACAAACAGAAAGCCCTGAAGAAGTGGGCTCACTGTGGCCACCTGCCAGATCCCTACCCAGCTGCTCTCTTACTCCCCCTCCTCAACAGGACAGGCACAGAAAATAAGATGGAAAAGGTGATGGGTCAGGTGAGGACAGAAAGACTGCTTAACACTTACCATTACAGGCAAAACAGGCCTGGCCTGGGGAGGAAGTATGTAATTTACTGACAATTAAAACAGAATCATAGTATCATTACACCTCAATGTAAAAACTCCACTCTGCTCCTTCTTTCTACAGAACCTAGAGTAATTCTGGAAGTGTCTGTCTTTCATCTCTCATATAAACTGGCAGAATGACATGAAGAAAGGAAGACATGATAAAGCACAAAGAGAGGTACCTGGAAAAGCAATGCCATCTGCTTTCTGTAATCTGTTGAAACTCTTCAAAAGAAGCTCCTTCAACATGAGAAATTTTAAGAACATATGCTGCCAAGCATCACTCCCTGGGCATGTAGGAATGGGTACCCATTCTGTATCCTACAAGCCACAGAATTCAGTGAATCCCTTTTGTCCCAATGCAACCAAAGCTTTTTGGTCCCAAATAGGACTTTTCTCTTGCTACTCCATCAAAGGATTCCTCCAGATTCTCCTTTCTAATTCTCAGATAAATCTGTTAATTATCTATCTATAAATGTTTCTTTAGCCAAATAATTATTTGCTCCTCAGCATCTATTGTGCTGGAAAGCTTTCAGAAAAATAAGTAACTGGATGCCTTTTCAGCACTCACTTCAATAGACTGAAGAAGTCTTCTTGTCCCTTTACTTCTCCCAAGACATCACTAGCATATATGTTATCTCACCAGACCTTCAACGGACCTATTCCTGGTTGAATTCTTGTTTCTTAGATTAATATGGGCTGTAAATCTATACAACATACCACACAAGGTTTTATTCTAGAGATACATTAGTATTTTTCATTAATGACCATACCACAAATAACCACATCTTTTTTTCAGAGCTGTAATTCATCATCAGCTCAACCCTCCCACTCCTTCAGATAAAACACCCTGATCCTCCTCCTTCACCTCTGCTGCTTCTGAATTGACAAACTCTGAGTAAACTATCATTGGTGTGTAATATATTGTAAAATGCATGAACTTTTATAGTATACCATTATACTACAAAATATTTATTTTATCTACTCCTGAGGATCATCATCATTTCTTGCTTTATTGTGGTCTGATTATCCTAATTATTTACAATACCTTAAAAGACTAATCAGAGTTGGTCCACGTTTTGAGCTAATAACATTAATGAAAATTCATAAGTACATCAGTCCTAAAAACATTACTTGAAAAAAATCATCCCTATCAGATGACTCCTTATTCACTCCATACTAATTTATTTATTAATTTCTCTACTAAGTTTCTTCCTTCCATAAAGTCAGAGGTTTTGCTTGTGGCACTGCATCTCAATCAAGGATTTGATTTAAATACATAAGGCCATCTAATTTTTACTTTAAAATATGCAATACAACCAGGTTAATCTGACAGTATCTAAGTCTAGACTGTGTTTTATGTCATTTGCCTGAATTTGCAATTACTTTCCTATATGCAGGACTTCAGAATAGATTAAATACTCCATTAGTCATGTTCTAGTCACAGCACTGCCCTTGATTTGAGCAACTTGAAAATATTCAGTCATTTCACTGTTTAGTATACTTAATTTTTTTTTTACCCCAACACTGATTTATCCCTTTTTCATAACCTTATTTTTGTTACTCACTTTCTCGTTCAGTACATTCATACTCAAAGTAAATTTTAACCAAAAAAAATATTTACTTACTTTTTAGGGCCATAACAAACTCAGTTTTAATAATAAAAAAAAATGTATAGAAAATGGCTATTTTTATTCATCCTTTGTTACATTAAAATAAATACCTTTTTTCCCCCATAGAATCATTACCTTTAAATATGTCAATTTGTGATCATTTATCCACAAGCCTCCCATTCAGAAAGTTGGATTCATGTCAAAACCAAATCTGTAAGTGTATCTCTCTCCTGTTGCTCTAGTGATCATATAATGACACCCAAGACAACACAGAAAGGAAATAAAACACATGTTACCAGAACTTAGGCAGACATTTGTAGGTACATCTTTCACCTTAAGTGGGATGCATCCACCTTTGAACTTGAGTTTCGTTCTGCCTGAATAGCACATATCCTTCAAAACTTGTGGTGTTCTCATCACCACTATTCCACTAGCTATCTGCCCTGTTCATAAATGCTCTCAGAGCCCACACACACCAGTAGATCAAGTCTGTCTATTTTATAGCCATATATCCAGCAGTATGGCAAGACAGCTAAGACAAAAAAAGTGTTTTCCTGAGTTGCACAAAATTCCTCCTCTCATCCCAATTCCATGCTTCGCTCTGCTTCATCACCATCACTCCTAGAACACCAATATACAGGGAATAGGACAGTCAGCTGAAAGGAGCTGTCTTCTGCTAACAAAACTGTTTCAGAGAGACCACATTTCACAGCCACTTCTAGGTGAAAAATTATGAAAATTATGACTAGAAAATTATGATAGCTAATAGTTGCCCAGTAGGTTGTTCACTACTTTCAACATTCTCTAAATGTGTCAAGTATCCAGCTATATAAATCAGTGCACTTCATAATTCAGTAAAAATTCTATAGCTTTTTCTGTGAAATCATATTCTATATTGAAGTTTCTTCAAATTGACCACAGGTTAAGTAACAAATTAAATATGCAACCTTTGGAGTTTTTACTATAAAAGTCTTTACACTGTTATTATTAGAATAAACTACATTTAAAATAAAACAAATGCCCATAGTTTTCTCTGGTGAATAAAGGGCAGAAATATCTACAGGTAATTATGCCAGTCACATTACTTAATAAGCTTGTGCAAGTCATTTGGATACTGTGGAGATGGAGACTGTAAAAGAACCTGATTGGAATAAAATACTATTAATTAAACCTCATAATATCCTGAAAGATAGGCAAGTGGTATGACTTTACAGAGACAACACAAATTGTTCAATGTCACGTTGCCTCAGGGGCATGATAATTTCCTGTGAACTAACCTACAGCTTTCAGGTGCTCTTCATCTGGGGGAAACACAAAAGTTCCATCTTCTCCTGAAGAAGAGAGAAAAATATCTTTTGTCTTTTATTAGTCATAGTGCTCAAATATGTTTAGTGCCCTCTGGTGTGCATTTCAGTGATCAATATATGTATAAAAGGAAAGATAATTGGCATTGATCTGAATAAAACCTTCAGTTCATCTTTCTGACTACTTCTAAACAAGCTTTCAACTTCCTAGGACAATCAGAAGATACAGTTAACATCTCCATGGCATTTATTGACTGAAAGCATCAGTTGAAAAGGTTGGTTTCAGCAACTATCCTAAATATAAACATTAATAGAAAATATAGAATTTTGCTCTCTTTTAATTCAATTGACACCATGAATTCAGTTCTCCTCACCTCTTGCAGTCTCTCATTTGACTCCAGTAACACTACCAGAGCCTATCCTCCTTGACTTCAATAATACCATTGTATTTTTATCTAAAAAGAAACCCAAGCAAAGAAACCCTCTGTAAAACATTTTCACTTTTTTCCACTTTCCCATCCTTCTCATCTCTTCCTGCTTTAACACACGGATTTTATAGGAAGAATCTGTATGACCAGTGTAAACGTCACTGTTTCTCCCACTGTTGACTACTTAAATAATCCCTTCTTCACACCAAAAATCTTAGCATACAGTCTCATGTTAGCCTGTATTTGACAAAACTCCAAATCCCACATGCTGGATCTAGCAAGTCTATGGCCTTTGGGAAATCAGAAGAGCCACCTGAAACAGAAGAAAGCTGTTCATTTTCATTTTTGGATGATGCTTATGCAGTCCCAGTGACTGTCACAGCTGGCAACTGCTTGATTGTGAGATTTTATGCAAAGGAGATGGCATGAGGGATACCTCAGGGAGAAGTTTGTCGGCAGCACAACATGACACTGAATGAGCTATAACAGCAACTGATCAAACCAGAAGTCCAATTTTGGGCTCCCCAGCACAAGATAGACATTGATACAGCAGAGTGATTCCAGCAGAGAGCTCTCCAGATGATCCACAGGACAGAGCACATGATGCGCTGGGAGAGGCTAGAGAACTGGGTTTAGGTTTCCTCATCCTTCAGAAAGCTTTGGCAGTGTCTTGCTGCTGTCTAAAACCACGTAACAGGAAAGTGTAGATAAGAGAGACAAACCCTGTCAAATGGTCTGCAGAGGTTGTAAAATCTATATATTAGAATGTATTCAAAACTCAGCTGCGCCACAATCCTGAGCAACATGCTCGTTGAAGCTGCTTTGAGCAGGGGGCTCGACTTGGTGTTTTCCAGATGTCCCTTCTAACATCCCTTAGTCTGTGTACTTATTAAGTACAGCAAATCTTTCCAAATATTCCTACCAAAATTATTCCTACGGAATGTTTTCTTTTGAAAAGATTACAAGAATTTGAATATCAAACCACAAAGTGCTTCAATTTGTACTTTTTTAAAGTAAGAACAAAACCTTACTCAGGGAAAAAAATTCCATTTTCATCACTCACAGGAAGTGACTGAAGGAACAGCTTTGTGCTGCCCTTGCTCAGCTGAGACATTTCAAATAGCACATGCTCATCCACAAACCACTGCCTTTCAGAGCTGATGAAAACCATCTTGCCTCCTGGAGCGATCAGGACTGCTGGATCTGCCCCTCACTGAATTCTGAACAAAGCACAGCATGGACAAACCCATCCATTCAGGCAGACACTGCCAGCTACCACTGGCCAGATGTAAAAGACTGTGGTTCCCGAAATAACAGGATCAGCTGGAGAGGCCCAGAGAATGGCAGAGAGCTGACAGAACTCCAAAGCACAATATTGGCCCTGCACACAGCACGTTGTCTCTCAGCAAGGAGCCTCACAGCTCAGAGAGAAGCAGGCCACATATCCACACATGCCACTCACAAGAAGCCAAATCTCAACTGAGATACAGCAAGGATTGAGGGCCAAGAACAACTAAACTGAGTACTACAGGACCCAATTCAGAAAACACATTTCCCTGGTGCCCTACTCATGTAGAACAGTAATTTAGCTGAAAATAGAACAAAAATAGCCTTTACCAGCAATAATGAGAACGATAAATAAGGTAGCCTTTAAGATTCATTTAGGCATAGATAAAAAAGTAACACTCTGGAAAGACTTTCTGGAGTGTTAGGTTCATTTTTCTAATTCACCTGCAACAGTAACTCTGCATGCTTTAATCCTTCTCTGTTTCACAGGCTATTCAGTGGGTAATTATTACAAAAGCACAAACCTTCTTCTGATAGAAGCAAAGCTGAAAGTCAGATTCCTATTTAAACTGAGATCTGACTGACATTTTGGGAAGTTTCCAAGGGGCTTCAGTGTATAAATTATCTTTCTTGATATCAGTACAGGTAACATCTGAACTTGAAACTAGACCTAACTGTGACATTTAAAGCCATGTTACCTAACCCTATCCAAAACTACCTCAAGTGAAGAAAATCAACATACTGTGAAACAAGGGAGAAATCAACACACTATAAAACACAAAGGAATTTGATTGGGAGCTAAGGAACGGCAAACACAGTGGTATTTACACCAAGAATTGGCTTCTGGCTCACACTGTGCTCATCACATGGCTAAAGCAGCAATTACCACTCCAACTTCCAATCCACTTTGCCCATGACAAAAAAGTACTGTGAGTAACACATGCATACAGTTTCTGCAACATGACGTAAGGAGCTGACTTCCAGAGGTGAGACTAAAAACTCTGGAAGTTGTTTCACCAGCCATTCAGACAATGAGGACTGAAGTGTGTCAAGAACAGCAAACAGGTCGGTGCAGGTGGTAACCACTTCAGCCATTCTTAATTCAAATATTAATTCCGGACACCTTCAGCTGTCCAGTTACAACTCCCTCAGGCACGGGGGAGTTCTGTTCTCCTGGCTGCGTGACAGCAGCCACGGGACAGAACAAGCAAGGGCCCAACCTTCATTCCCACCCTGGCAGCACTCACTCCGCAGGGCCTGCGCTGACCTGCCTGTCAGAGGCCATTCCTTCGCTTAATTCACGAGACAGAGACACCGTGAAAACATGAACTTTAAAACCTTCTTTTTCTCACTTCTTGGGGTGTTTTGAATGCGAGACCAAAAAGAACCAGATCCCAACACACGAAAAGAAAGGTAAGGCGTAGTTTTTGACAAGCCGCAACCCAGCCGAGACAGCACCTCCAGGCAAGGCCGAGCCAACGCGCCGGGGAGGGCGGGACATTCCCCCCGCGCTGAACGGCGGCCGCAGCCCCGGGACCTGCGGCGGTGGGGACGCTACTTACAGCCCTGGTCTCGTACAGCACCAGCTTCTGCACGGAGCTGATCAGGGGGGCGGCGGCCGCCACCGGCATGGCAGCCCCGAGGCGCGGCGGAGCGTGCTCGGGAACACCCCGGGAACAGCCGGAGCCGGGGGAGGGACACACAGGGGCTGAGCAGGGCACCACCACCGGCACCGGGGGAACCCGGAAGTGCCGGCGCGCCAACGCGCAGGCGCGCCCACAGGGTGGGAGTCGCGAGAGCGCGCCTGCGTCGCGGAGCCGCGTCACTCGCGGCCTCTCGGTAACGGCGGCTCCGGGCGCGGCGGCGGCAGCAGCAGCGGAGCACTGAGGCGGGCGAGGCGGCAGCGCTGCTGCATCCGCACCCGCTGCTCCCGCCGGGAAGCGCTTCCCGCGGGGTGAGCACAGTCAGCACCAGGAACAGCTCCGCGGCCCCGCCCACGCCGCCGTGTGGGGCGGGGCTTCCGCCGCTCCCGCCTGCAGGGGGCGGGGTCAATGGCAGGGGGCGGGGCGCAGCCGTTGCCCGGGCAGCGGGGGCGCGCACAACGGGGCTCCCATGTCCTGGACGTGCGTAGAGGGGGGCGTGTGTGCGTGCCTGGTTTAGTTATTTGCTTTGGTTGTGGTGGTTTTTGTGAATTAGAAAATAGACCCTTGTGAAGGTTTGGGAAGGAGCGAGGCTGCTGGGAACGGCAGGTAAAGCTCAGCCGGTGAGTTTTCCGTTGGGGCAATGCGGAGTTGGTTCGCATGTGGGTTTTTTTGGTTTTTGTTTTTTGTGGTTTTTTTTGGGTGTTTTGGGGTTTTTTTATATTAAAATGTTTAATGCAAGAGTGTCTGAATAATTGTGTTTGATGGTTCAAGGCAAACTTTTTCAGATTCTCATCCCGAAGTAGATTTTTTCGTTGAAGTTTTTGATTTAATTTAAAACTCACTGGGAATTGTGTGGGGCTGTGCGGGGTTGGATGGTTGCATGTGAGTTTAGCTGGGGCTATGAAGTGGCCCCCTAAAGACAGTGAGGTTTTGTTTTGACTTTTCCAAACAAACTTCAGCAAGCTCCTCATGTTCCAGCCTCTGCTTTGTTTGAAAGGTCCACGCAAATTTTCCACCAACTTACCTTAATTAGAAATTTGTTTAGATCTTAATTTGTTGTGCAGTACTGGAGTTGATACTGCCTACATTCCTGGAAGAGCTGGGATTTGTAAAAGGATGGTGGAAGAGATCATGAACTGTGATTTAATTCCACAGACTTACTTGGGTACCTGCCTGTGTGGATACAGAGAGTAGTTCCATTGACCACGGCAGGGCCCTTCTGTGTCCGAAGCACAAAACCAAAGGTCTTGGCAAACCCATGGCCCATTTCAGGGACCAGAGAGAAGTCACAATTGTGTGGTAATTGGACCAGGAAGGAAAAATCAACAAAACAACTGAAAAAGAGCAACAAGCAATATTAGAATCCTGAAGAAATCATCAACAGCTTGTGATCAGGGGTTGTTCCAAGTCCTTTGTTTTTCAGAAGTGGGTTTTCTCTCATTTGATGGGTGCACTGTATATGTTCTCTAAATGTTTTTCTTCTTATAAAAGCTTTCTTTTTCACAAATCCATTTACCTTGTAATTCAGTTCCATTATAAGGTCATTTTACACACATATAACTACTGCATAACAAATCCTTTTTTTTTCCTTCTAGTCTTAGTAAACACATGGCTTCACAAGAGGAAAACCAAGCTCAGTCCTTTACAGACATCTTTGATGAAGATGAAGCTGAAAGATCTTTTCTGTTGTCCAAGCCCACTTGCTTAATTGTCTTTGGAAAGCCAGTAAGATGTCTGATAGAAGTTTTGGGGTTTTTTTCAGATATTCTACTATTTTACTTTTCCTTTCAAAACATTAGTTTACCAGTGCTACCAAAAGCATCAAAATACCTACTTTTTTACTTTTGCCACTCCTCAAATCATGCAGAGGATGGTAAAAATTCAGGTCGCATTTAATGAGACTAGTTTTTGCCTTCAGTGACCAGTCAATTGTGGTTAAAATGTTATTACTGTACTTAAAAGTTACACATTGCTCAAAACTTTTCTCTTTTGACATTGACAACTGGGTTGATGTTATTTTTGTGGTGGTTTAACCCCAGCCAGCCAGCAAGCAAACCCCACACAGCCTCTTGCTCACTCACCCTGGTGGGATGGGACAGAAAGTAAAAGGGATAAAATGCATGAGTTGACAAAAGCCATGCATATGAGCAAAGCAAAACAAGAAATTCATTCCCTACTTCCTATGGACAGTCAGATGTTCAGCCATGCCCAGGAAAGCAGGACTCCATCATGCTTCATGATGACTTGGGAAGACAAATGCTATCTCTCCAAAAGTACTTCCCTTTCCTTCTCTTCCCCAGCTTTATATGCTGAGCATAACACCATGTACTTTGGAATATCCTTATGTGTCAGTCAGAGTCAGCTGTCCCAGCTGTGTTCCCTCCCAGCTTCCCATCCACCCTCATTTTCCTCACCAGTGTGGCAGTATGGAAAGGCCTTGGCTCTGTATAAGCCCTGCTCAACAGTAGCAGAAACATTTCTGTATTATCAACACTTTTTTTCAGCACAAATCCAAAACACGGCCCCACACTAGCTACTGTGAAGAAAGTTAACTCTTGCCCAGCCAAAACCAGAACAATGCTATTAAAATATTTTAGTTTTCAATAAATTTGACAGGTTAAAGACATAAATTGGTGTAAAAGAACCTTCAGATTATTGTATTAACTTACAGACATGCAATGAGGTATTATAGATCTTAATATTAAAACTTTGACAAAATTCTATCCTATATATTTGGAAACATTCAAAATCCACCAAGGTGTCCTAAAAGAAGGATCTGTACTACATTTTAACTGTAATTCAAGGTCCGTCTTTTTCTCAACTAATTTGTGGCCTTCTTAACTTAGAATAATTTGATGTTTTCTAAAACTAAACTTTTCAGATTTCTTTTTTTTTTCCCAAATGTGGGTTTGCATTATTGCCTCAGTTTGCTGAAGGGAGTTCTTTTTTTGGTACAATTTTGCCTTATGTCTTATGAGTGTATGCACTTATAAGAGTGCACTCAGCTCAACAGAAAACTACAGTGAACTAACTCATCTAGTTTTAAATGAACATCAAACTTTTAACCCCACATGAAAAAGGTAACTGTATATTTTATAGACTAAACCACTATAATATGCTCATTGAAAGACTGTAGAAAAAATTATCATATTCTCAACCATTGCCTTCAGTAGATGCTTGACATTAATATAACAAAGGTTTAAAATTGTACAGACCTTGCCAGGAAAACAGGGAATGAAATAGTTTATTTTTATGGTAATATCTTTTATTACCATAGCAGACAATATATCTGACTGATGTGCAGAGTGCCTATCCTATTTAAGATACATCTTTTAAATTAAAAATGTAGTGTCATGAAAGCAAAGCCAAATACATGTATTCTCATCACAAGTGTAAGATGTAAGGTATGAGTAGGCTGGAGCATTTGTTGACAGTCTTAGCTGGGAATGTATTTATGTGTGGAATTTTGCTGGTTTTTATCACAAAATTTTTCAGGGACAAAAAAACTGTCAAAACAGGTCTTATATGCCCTTCTAAAAAATCCAAAGGGTGGAAGATGGTGAGTTTTGCAAAATCCCATTCAGTTAATCACTCTTGGAGGCCTCATAACTCAGTTATGTTTGTTTTCCTCTGGGTTCGTGTAAATAGTGAAGATTTTGTCAGTATCTAACCAGATTTGTGGACTAACAAGGGCAGTTTTTAAGCATTTGTTATTCAAGTAATAAAAATACTATCCTGATGTATCCTACTCAGAAAGGGTTGAGTAGGTTTGCATCATAATTTGCTTTGAGGCTGAAGATAATGAATTTTAGTCCTAAGGAGTTTCTCATAGGAATTTGTGGTAAAATCATAGCTGAGTTTTAGATGGAGTTACTCAGAAACGAACTCAGTATAATGACTTTGGAGATAGTTAGCTACAAGTAACAGCATATTAGCAATGCTAGGCAAAATGAGGTAGAGGATGGTATTAAAAAGTGTTTTGTGTTTGCCCAAAGCATAACTCAGAGGTCCTAATCCCAGGGGTAGATTTTCATTGTTTTTATCACGTGAAAATACATTTTTCATTGTGTTATATATTTGGCTTTGTTGTGTCTGATTTTCTTTTAAAAGTGTATTTTTCTTTTTAAGGGTTCTGGAAAGAAAACGTTAGCTAAAAAACTAGCACAGAGATTGAACTGCATTTTCATAGAAGGTAAACACATGCTATATTTGGAACATTGCTTTGGCTTCACAATAGCTTTTGGTTTAGAATATGCTCACTATTCCCTGTAATTCAAGGGCATGTTTCTGAGTGCAGCAAACACTTCTGATAAGGACCAAGTAATCATTTTACCAGAAATAAAATTGTTGATCGTGGTCTTTTAGTTATTGAAAGGCTTAGAAAAACTACTGTGGGTTGTTGTTTTTTGTTTTTTTTTATCATAAATTCTTCTCACAGTCCTATAAGGGGATTTGTGGGACCCTTCTTGTTCACACAGGGACAACTCATTCAACTCCAAAGAGTACAGACATTTTCCAGTGAAGACCATGAATTCATAAGAGGGTCTTTCCTTTCTGTTTGTGCAGTGTCCAACACAAGGGGATGTACTCCAGGAAACAGTTATTTATCAAATGAAGTATCTTTACTTAGTTTGAAGATTTAGAATTGTAACATGGTAAAAATCACTTTTAATAAATTGCTTTTTTGACTTGGGTATATATAGTATTGTATAACAAGAAAAAAAATCAATACCTGGCCCAAAACATAGATCAGGCCAAAATCAGAAGGGACTTCAGGAGTGTACTTAAGCCAGTCCATTCTGTTTGAATATATTTAAATCAGTACTGACAAATATTCATCAAATTTGTTTGAAAAAAATTCTAGGCAGTCTATCTCTGTAACACACTCTTTGCCATTAGCAAGCTTTTCTTAGCAACTGATCTAAATTTCAGTTACTGCATTTTTAAGCCTTATTTCTAGTTCAGGGAATTAGTATTTTCTTATTTTGTTCATTGTATTTCTTTTAGTCTTCATTTAGCTAGTGAATGCACACATGTGT